GTAGGTTTTCAGTATTCAGTAACCATGGCAAATGTTGAGAAGCCAGAGTTAGCTTCATCCAGCATAATTATTAATTAAAACTAAACAATCGAAAATAAGTTCGAGACCAAATGTACTTTCAAAGATTATTATTTTTTAAAATAATTTTGTAATATAGAGGTCTAGATCTAGGCTAGATCTACTAGATTCTAGATCTACAGCAACTAGATTATAAAAATAAATTAATCGTGTTGTTCTTTCAGTTTCGGTTTGGTTTGTTTTAAGAGGAAGCAATAACTAGACTAGATCTAGAATCTAAATCTAGAATCTTAGGCCTTAAAAATTAATAAATAGGCCTATAGATTCTATCTAGTCTAGATCTAGAAAATAAATCTAGATCTAGATCTAATCTAGATAATTCTAGAGTGAATCTAGAGCAAGAGGTAAAATCTAAATGAAATTTAGGGGCCTAATAATAAATTAAAATTTAATGCTCACTATTTATTTCTAGATCTAGTGTTTACAGTCACAGATCTAGAGATCTAGATCTGGATCTAGCTAGTTAAATTATTATATTATAGTCCTAGGCCTATAGTATAGGCCTAATAATTTAAGTACCAATAGTAGTTTTACTAGGCCCAGTGTCGGCGCCAGGTTATTTAGCACCAACCACCCCGCAATTTTTTTCGTGCCCCCCAGAGACAAACTTTCGATTTGCACTTCCCCCCCCCCCCTCAAACTTTTGATTTGCACCCCCCCTCAAAATTTCAATTAGCACCCACCCCCCCTCAAACTTTCAATTTGTATTTCCATCCCATTTTTGCACCCCAACCTGATGGAGTAGAGTTCAAATGTTTCTTGACCTCAGCTTATGAGTTGATGTTGTGATCAGCACTATGCCAAGCCATCCTTTCCTTTCCCCAAAGTGAATCAGGTACCCATCAGAGCTGGGTGGACTCGCGAACATCCTTCAGTCTCTTGATCTGAATTTGCGACCTTCGGGCTAGCAGCCGTAGGCTCTTCCATTTGACCCAGCACTATAAAATAGGCGAAATATTCATATATATCTTTAATGCAAACATCATAATAAATACTATAACGAGATATTGCAGTAAAAGATTCATAAATTAACCCTGGCGTGTCTACATAGCTGAACTTGTCCTCCTTTGTTGCATGTCTATTAATGAGCTCTTACAATTAATCACAGCTAACGAAGCTTTAATATTTTTATAAAATAATTTAGTCATAATATAAAAGGTAACTTCCTTCGTTGCCCCCTTCTTTTATTCATGAAATTCGCAGACTTACATTTTCTTACCCCCCCCCCTTCCTTTACCCCCATGTCATTTATGTAAAACATCTTTTGTCCCATCCTGAGGATTTTTTTCTTTCTAGTACAAAAGCTAAAATAAAAAATTGGTTTCATAGCATCATTTCAAAATCATTATTTTTTTTTACAAATTACATTCCTCTATTATGGTAAACATAAATAGTTAACCACACTTATCTTCTCACTTTTAAAACCATTTTAAAAACTATTTCTGCAGCTTTTTTTTTGTGATAATTAATTTTCCAAACTGGCGTCCCAAGAAAGTTGCCAGGACAAGAATACCCATGAAAAGCTAAAGCAGCTTGAAGATGAAAAATGCCGACTAATTCGGGCTGTTGAGGATTATTTCAACCATGTAGGCCTACTTAGATAACTATTTTGTTTTAATTAAAATTAATTATTAAATGATTTTTTAAAAAAGAGAAAATGTTATCATTAAGATATAAAAAAATTATGCCTGTAACTTCCTATACAGTAAAACACAAGTTCTACACATTTAATATGTTCCACTCTAGGTGTATTCAAAGAGCAACAACAGCCACAAAATAAAATCAGATCTGATAGAGGTGGAGGAGTGCATTGATCAGGCTTGCCAGCTGTTTAAGGAAACTTCACTCCAAATTAAAAATGAACTTTACCATGAGGTGGATGAGGAAGCAGGATATGATTCACAGTTTCGCCAAACTAGTTTGTATCAATTTGAACTTTTTTTTCTTGAAAAAGTAGACCCCTACATAAATAGGGAATTATTCTTTTATTTAATGAAAAATGTATTATCATTTTTATCTATTTTATTTGGTAGTAGTTTGTATTAAATGTGATATTATATTCTTTGAGAAAGTTCATCGAATAGTATTTTTATTTTTTAAATTTTAAAACAAATAATAATTTCTTTATTTCAAATTATTAAATTAAAACAGTAATTATTTTTTTTAAAGTTTTCTTTTTTGCTTAACTAATAACATTTAAATGATCTACAAAAAAGGTTTTTAAAAAGTTGTATTTTAACTTTTTATTTTTTATTTCCAAGAATACTCTCCCAAAAGCCTATTCTAAATGCCAGAGACATTTATTTAGGGCATATATCATGTCATATGATCATGTCATATGTGAGATAAAAAATGTTAAATGTCACACAATTAAAGTCATAGTACTGGAGTCGGACAGTCATATACAATTTGGTTAAATTCTAAACAAGCAGTTGTGGCTGATATTTGTTTGTGGTATTGTTCAAGTACAAACTTTATAACAAAATGTAAATATACTACTTCTACATCACACATCATCAGTTTTCACACTAAGGCTGTAATATTTTCCTTTAATTTTTAAAATTTGATTTTTGTTAAGAGCTCCAATATAAATACTTATTCTAATAAGTATCACAAGTATTGATATTTTAAATTTTAGCATGATCTCTAATATTTATCTAGTAATAAATAATCAATACATTTATTTTACTTTTGCTTTTGTTATTCAGGAAAAATTCATTCATATTTTTTTTAAACACTTTGTTTATAAATAACAAACTTTTTTAGTTGCAATAAACAAATTATAATTTTGACATTTTCTTTTTATTCTTACATTTACCTTATACATTTTTTTTTACTTGAAATTTTTTTTTTTACCTATGATCTCTAATATTTATTAGTAATGAATAATCAATACATTTATTATGCATTTTTTTGTGTTATTCAGAAAAAAATCATTCATATGTTATTTAACACTTAACTTATTTATAAATGACAAAGTAAACTTTTTCAGTTGACTTAACTTGTATATAGATGACAAAGTAAACTTTTTCAGTTGCAATAAACAAATTTTAGAGTTTTTTATTCTAACATTTGCCTTATACGATATTTTTGACTAAAATTTAAATTAAAAAAAAAAATTAATAAATGAAAATTCATGCAAAAACTTTAACTCAGACAGACAGAGGCCCTACCAACATGATTACATGTCAGACAGATATAGGACCCACCCACACGATTACATCTCTGTTGGGTCTGACTTAGCCACATCCTTGTCGTTTGAGGTCCTCTCTAGATCACCATCCATGTGCGGCCTTGAACCAGGACCAGGTGAATCATTACATTACTCAGGTGAGTTATTCCAGGTACAAACTTAAACCTAAGCGCAACAATGTTGTATCAAGGTTTAGTTTAGACAGTTGAACTAAGGGGTGGCCAGGTACTTATTTAGGATAGTCAGTGATTATCAGTGTATATTTAAATACCTCTATTATTATAAGGTAGCATGTCATTCAATCCATCACTCATCAGTAAAGGTACTTTTCCTTTCATAGCGTTGATGGTATTTATTTTGATACAGGACACACACACTTATACATATATAAGTATGTATATATATATATATATATATATATATATATATATATATATATATATATATATATATATATATATATATATACTTATATATATATATATATATATATATATATATATATATATATATATATATATATATATATATATATAGATATATATATATATATATATATATATATATATATATATATATATATATATATATATATATATATATATATATATATATATATATATATATATATATATATATATATATATATATAGATATAGACATATATAGATATTTTTATTTATTTATTTATTTATTTATTTATATATACAGACAGACAGAAAACAGACAGAGGTTTAGATATAGACATACATTTAGACATAAATATAGACATAAAAATAGATATAGAAATATATATAGAAGCAGATGTGAATGTGGATGTAGATTTATATAGATTGTATGCTGCAACACCAGACCTTAAACTTAAACAAGTACAATCAACTTCTTATCATTTACTGAGCTTAGGATGTTGTAGGGGTATTACTTTATTCATAGATTATACTGCATTGTTTATGTACAGTTATTTGAGTGTGCTTGTGTTTACACAGATTCACCCCCCAATCAGCTTGCGACACTAGAGAAACACCAGACAGCTGTTGATTCAAAACTGGAAGATTTATTTACCTGTATGGATGATCTTAAAGCTGAAGTGCATGATCTCAAACAAAAAGCACCTGATACAAACATACACTTAGACCAGAGTGAAGCCTTTCAAAGTGTGAAAAAAAATGTTTCGTCTTTAAAAGAAAGTGTGACGGATTTATCCGCGTACAACCAGTACATAAAGTCACAGTTGTCTAACTTGAACGAAGCGTTTACTCAGCAGATTGGTGAGGTGAGTGACCAATGCAGCCGTCTTGATTTACAAGGAAGCGAAAGGGATATGGAACTCAAAAATTTAACAAAGGTTTTTAGCGAATGGAAAAGTTTAATGGAGAAGAGAATCGATGACTTGGAAAATCATGTGAAAGTTGATACATTTGATGTGAAATCCAACCCTGAAAATTGTTACAGTGAAACAAGGAAATTCGAATTTGAAGATGAAAAAAATTTCAAGCCTGATTTGAAGCAAGATATAGGGACTGGTTTTAAAGAAACTGCAATAAAAAAAGATGTTTTTAGTGAAAAGAAAAAAAAAGGTGCTAAGATGCTATGGTATGGAGCAGATAAAGAACAAATTTGTGAGACCTTGAGTATGGCTCAGAACAACAAGTACCAAGGAACAAATGTAGGAGAAACAGAAATTGACCCTAGAGGTTGCTTATATATTGAAAACAGTAATGAGCAAGAATTTGGTAAAAAAATGATGACAGCAACAGGCTCTTTAGCGAGTGATAACATGGGAGTAATAAGACAGGATGGTAGAGAATGTCTAGCGTTAGGGGATAAAGAAACCATTTTTACAGGTGCGTATAAATATATTGGAACAGATAAAACAGTGCCTGTATTGAAAGGCCATATTTATAGTACAAAGAAAGGTGATGATGAACTTGAAGTAAAAACTAATGCTGAAGAATCAAGGAAATATAATAGTGAACCCAAATCTGAAACTGAAAATGCAAGAACAGATTATAGTGAACCAATTGTGCCTGAAAATACAGGAATTTATAAAATTGCCAAATCTACAAGTGCAAAGAAAAAAAAATCCTCCCATAAAGCTGTAAGAGCTACAGAATTGAGCAGGGAAGATAAAACAGGATGTGAAATCCCCCCAGGAGTGAGCAGTAGTGTGGAGTGTGTTACTCACAGTCAGCATCAGACACAGCATAGAGAGCCTGGACCACAAGCTGGGAGATGGGAAGCTCTGGAGATATATCGTAGGTCAAGGGCAGTGGCGGAGCATCAGAGGGGATTAACTGAGCCGCGGAGAGAAACGGCTGAGCATCAGACGGGAGTGGCTGTGCCACGGAGGGCAGTGGCTGAGCATCAGACGGGAGTGGCTGTGCCACGGAGGGCAGTGGCTGAGCATCAGAGGGTAGTGGGTGAGTTGCGAAGGGAAGTGGCTGAACCATGGATTGGAGTGGCTGAACCACGGAGGGAAGTGGCTGAACCATGGATGGGAGTTGCTGAACCACGGAGAACAGGAACAGCGTGGCAGGATCCTAAAGCGCTAGTGAACAAGCATTTGTTTGACATGAAGAAAGATGAGGAGGAGACTCAAGTGATGGTTTGTGATAGCCCGTGGAGGCAAAAGACAGGGAAAAATGATCCAGTAAGTAAATCTAAGTTAAAAAAAAAAATTTTTTTTCATCATTTATAGCAAGATCTCTACCTCCATGTTTCATCAGTTTTTGTTTATGGTTTTACACATGTAAACAGGTGAACTCTAATTCACTTGTTACATGGACCGTCAGGTTCGAAAGGGAACTTTACTTAACTTTTCTTAATGCTTATAACACTGGATACACCTAAATATATACAACTTAAGTAGCTGTAAGGACAGCAGGCTCCTAAGGGAGCAATACCCTGCATCGAAGAGATGTCTGAAAGAAACTCCAATAGCTAGTTAATTTTTTTTTATTTTATAAATATATAGACCTGCAAAGAAAAGGAATGGTGTCTTTAGTATTTAGCTATTTTTTTTAAAGACAACTTTGAGTTAACTCACTGCAAATTCAGTAAGGTAAAAGTAGCTAACAGCTACCTCTCAAAAGAGTAAGAAAAGTTTCTTTCTTTTTTGATGCTCTTTATGTTTAGATTTGATTTTCATTTTTTAAAATGCTGATCATTGATATTTTAGAAACTTTCTACCCAAAAAGATTTGGCTAGAACATCTGCACCAGGTAAATTTGTTTAATGAGTGTCAGCCGTGTTTGTTTTGGTTGTTAGCCTGTTTTTGTGTAAGCTCCATCAGAAAGACTAGTTTTGCTTGATAAGTGTCAGCCATATAATATTTGTTTTGGTTTTTAGCTCATTATTTTGTGTAAGCTCCTTCAAAAAGACTCTCTTTGATAAGTCACAGCCTTATAATATTTGTTTTTGTTGTTAGCCCATATTTTTGTAAACTCCTTCAAAAAGATTTGCAATGTTTGATAAGACTAGTGTCAACCATATATGTTTTGGTTGTTAGCCCAATTGCTGTGTGTTTAAGCTCCTTCAGAAAGACTTGCTTTTGTGGATAATTGTCAACCATATACGTTTTGGTTGTTAGCCCATTTTTTTCGTTTTAGTTCCTTCCTAAACAAATTTAGCTAACCATCACCCATGTTTGTCTTGTATTCCCAGAATTCAACGGTCCATTAGAAGCCAGTGAAATGAGGGTTGGTGTCAGGGTCATGAGGGGACCAAATTGGTGTTGTGGAGATGTGGTAAGTGTGATGTCAAAATGGTGTTGTAGAGATGTGGTAAGTGTGATGTCAAATTGGTGTTGTGGAGATGTGGTAAGTGTGATGTCAAAACGGTGTTGTGGAGATGTGGTGTGATGTCAAATTGGTGTTGTGGAGATGTGGTAAGTGTGATGTCAAATTGGTGTTGTGGAGATGTGGTGTGATGTCAGATTGGTGTTGTGGAGATGTGGTAAGTGTGGTGTCAACTTGGTGTTGTGGAGATGTGGTAAGTGTGATGTCAAATTGATGTTGTGGAAATGTGGTAAGTGTGATGTCAAATTGGTGTTGTGGAGATGTGGTAAGTGTGATGTCAAAATGGTGTTGTGGAGATGTGGTAAGTGTGATGTCAAATTGGTGTTGTGGAGATGTGGTAAGTGTGATGTCAAATTGGTGTTGTGGAGATGTGGTAAGTGTGATGTCAAACTGGTGTTGTGGACATGTGGTAAGTGTGATGTCAGATTGGTGTTGTGGAGATGTGGTAAGTGTGATGTCAAATTGGTGTTGTGGAGATGTGGTAAGTGTGATGTCAAATTGGTGTTGTGGAGATGTGGTAAGTGTGATGTCAAATTGGTGTTGTGGAGATGTGGTAAGTGTGATGTAAAATTGGTGTTGTGGACATGTGGTAAGTGTGATGTCATATTGGTGTTGTGGAGATGTGGTAAGTGTGATGTCAAATTGGTGTTGTGGAGATGTGGTAAGTGTGATGTCAAAATGGTGTTGTGGAGATGTGGTAAGTGTGATGTCAAAATGGTGTTGTGGAGATGTGGTAAGTGTGATGTCAAAATGGTGTTGTGGAGATGTGGTAAGTGTGATGTCAAATTGGTGTTGTGGAGATGTGGTAAGTGTGATGTCAAATTGGTGTTGTGGAGATGTGGTGTGATGACACCAGGTCAGATTGGTGTTGTGGAGATGTGGTAAGTGTGATGTCAAAATGGTGTTGTGGAGATGTGGTAAGTGATGTCAAAATGGTGTTGTGGAGATGTGGTAAGTGTGATGTCAAATTGGTGTTGTGGAGATGTGGTAAGTGTGATGTCAAAATGGTGTTGTGGAGATGTGGTAAGTGTGATGTCAAATTGGTGTTGTGGAGATGTGGTGTGATGACACCAGGTCAGATTGGTGTTGTGGAGATGTGGTAAGTGTGATGTCAAATTGGTGTTGTGGAGATGTGGTAAGTGTGATGTCAAAATGGTGTTGTAGAGATGTGGTAAGTGTGATGTCAAATTGGTGTTGTGGAGATGTGGTAAGTGTGATGTCAAAACGGTGTTGTGGAGATGTGGTGTGATGTCAAATTGGTGTTGTGGAGATGTGGTAAGTGTGATGTCAAATTGGTGTTGTGGAGATGTGGTGTGATGTCAGATTGGTGTTGTGGAGATGTGGTAAGTGTGGTGTCAACTTGGTGTTGTGGAGATGTGGTAAGTGTGATGTCAAATTGATGTTGTGGAAATGTGGTAAGTGTGATGTCAAATTGGTGTTGTGGAGATGTGGTAAGTGTGATGTCAAAATGGTGTTGTGGAGATGTGGTAAGTGTGATGTCAAATTGGTGTTGTGGAGATGTGGTAAGTGTGATGTCAAATTGGTGTTGTGGAGATGTGGTAAGTGTGATGTCAAACTGGTGTTGTGGACATGTGGTAAGTGTGATGTCAGATTGGTGTTGTGGAGATGTGGTAAGTGTGATGTCAAATTGGTGTTGTGGAGATGTGGTAAGTGTGATGTCAAATTGGTGTTGTGGAGATGTGGTAAGTGTGATGTCAAATTGGTGTTGTGGAGATGTGGTAAGTGTGATGTAAAATTGGTGTTGTGGACATGTGGTAAGTGTGATGTCATATTGGTGTTGTGGAGATGTGGTAAGTGTGATGTCAAATTGGTGTTGTGGAGATGTGGTAAGTGTGATGTCAAAATGGTGTTGTGGAGATGTGGTAAGTGTGATGTCAAAATGGTGTTGTGGAGATGTGGTAAGTGTGATGTCAAAATGGTGTTGTGGAGATGTGGTAAGTGTGATGTCAAATTGGTGTTGTGGAGATGTGGTAAGTGTGATGTCAAATTGGTGTTGTGGAGATGTGGTGTGATGACACCAGGTCAGATTGGTGTTGTGGAGATGTGGTAAGTGTGATGTCAAAATGGTGTTGTGGAGATGTGGTAAGTGATGTCAAAATGGTGTTGTGGAGATGTGGTAAGTGTGATGTCAAATTGGTGTTGTGGAGATGTGGTAAGTGTGATGTCAAAATGGTGTTGTGGAGATGTGGTAAGTGTGATGTCAAATTGGTGTTGTGGAGATGTGGTGTGATGACACCAGGTCAGATTGGTGTTGTGGAGATGTGGTAAGTGTGATGTCAAATTGGTGTTGTGGAGATGTGGTAAGTGTGATGTCAAATTGGTGTTGTGGAGATGTGGTGTGATGACACCAGGTCAGATTGGTGTTGTGGAGATGTGGTAAGTGTGATGTCAAATTGGTGTTGTGGAGATGTGGTAAGTGTGATATCAAAATGGTGTTGTGGAGATGTGGTAAGTGTGATGTCAAATTGGTGTTGTGGAGATGTGGTAAGTGTGATGTCAAAATGGTGTTGTGGAGATGTGGTAAGTGTGATGTCAAATTGGTGTTGTGGAGATGTGGTGTGATGACACCAGGTCAGATTGGTGTTGTGGAGATGTGGTAAGTGTGATGTCAAATTGGTGTTGTGGAGATGTGGTAAGTGTGATGTCAAAATGGTGTTGTGGAGATGTGGTAAGTGTGATGTCAAATTGGTGTTGTGGAGATGTGGTAAGTGTGATGTCAAACTGGTGTTGTGGACATGTGGTAAGTGTGATGTCAAAATGGTGTTGTGAAGATGTGGTAAGTGTGATGTCAAAATGGTGTTGTGGAGATGTGGTAAGTGATGTCAAAATGGTGTTGTGGAGATGTGGTAAGTGTGATGTCAAATTGGTGTTGTGGAGATGTGGTAAGTGTGATGTCAAAATGGTGTTGTGGAGATGTGGTAAGTGTGATGTCAAATTGGTGTTGTGGAGATGTGGTGTGATGACACCAGGTCAGATTGGTGTTGTGGAGATGTGGTAAGTGTGATGTCAAATTGGTGTTGTGGAGATGTGGTAAGTGTGATGTCAAAATGGTGTTGTGGAGATGTGGTAAGTGTGATGTCAAATTGGTGTTGTGGAGATGTGGTAAGTGTGATGTCAAATTGTTGTTGTGGAGATGTGGTAAGTGTGATGTCAAACTGGTGTTGTGGACATGTGGTAAGTGTGATGTCAGATTGGTGTTGTGGAGATGTGGTAAGTGTGATGTCAAATTGGTGTTGTGGAGATGTGGTAAGTGTGATGTCAAATTGGTGTTGTGGAGATGTGGTAAGTGTGATGTCAAATTGGTGTTGTGGAGATGTGGTAAGTGTGATGTCAAATTGGTGTTGTGGACATGTGGTAAGTGTGATGTCATATTGGTGTTGTGGAGATGTGGTAAGTGTGATGTCAAATTGGTGTTGTGGAGATGTGGTAAGTGTGATGTCAAAATGGTGTTGTGGAGATGTGGTAAGTGTGATGTCAAAATGGTGTTGTGGAGATGTGGTAAGTGTGATGTCAAAATGGTGTTGTGGAGATGTGGTAAGTGTGATGTCAAATTGGTGTTGTGGAGATGTGGTAAGTGTGATGTCAAATTGGTGTTGTGGAGATGTGGTGTGATGACACCAGGTCAGATTGGTGTTGTGGAGATGTGGTAAGTGTGATGTCAAATTGGTGTTGTGGAGATGTGGTAAGTGTGATGTCAAAATGGTGTTGTGGAGATGTGGTAAGTGTGATGTCAAATTGGTGTTGTGGAGATGTGGTAAGTGTGATGTCAAATTGGTGTTGTGGACATGTGGTAAGTGTGATGTCATATTGGTGTTGTGGAGATGTGGTAAGTGTGATGTCAAATTGGTGTTGTGGAGATGTGGTAAGTGTGATGTCAAATTGGTGTTGTGGAGATGTGGTAAGTGTGATGTCAAATTGGTGTTGTGGAGATGTGGTGTGATGACACCAGGTCAGATTGGTGTTGTGGAGATGTGGTAAGTGTGATGTCAAATTGGTGTTGTGGAGATGTGGTAAGTGTGATGTCAAATAGGTGTTGTGGAGATGTGGTGTAATGACACCAGGTTAGATTGGTGTTGTGGAGATGTGGTAAGTTTGATGTCAAAATGGTGTTGTGGAGATGTGGTAAGTTTGATGTCAAAATGGTGTTGTGGAGATGTGGTAAGTTTGATGTTAGATTGGTGTTGTGGAGATGTGGTAAGTTTGATGTCAGATTGGTGTTGTGATGTAGTAAAAGAGATGACACCAGTCTATATTGGTGTTGTGGAGATGTGGTGTGATGACACCAAGTCAGATTGGTATTGTGGAGATGTGGTGTGATGACACCAAGTCAGATTGGTGTTGTGGAGATGTGGTGTGATGAAACCAGTCTAGATTGGTGTTGTGGAGATGTGGTGTGATGACACCAAGTCAGATTGGTAGATAAATAAAAAAAAATATCAGCTGGCTAGTTTTTGTAACAAAAAAACCTTGAGAATATTTTTTTTTTTTCGAATTTTCAAAATGTTGTAAGGTAAAATACCATTTAATTTAGCATTTATTTTAATGGTATTTCTGTTACAAAAACTAGCTGACTCTATAAGGGCTAGTAAAAGAAAGATAATGATTATAAGATCAATATAAATATTACTTTTTAAACCTAGGGACCTTCACAATAGGCGTTTTATCGAGATGTCAACCATACTTTCAGAAGAATCGCCGATGCATTAAAATATTTTCTTTCCTTGAAATACCCTAACTTAGATATACACAAATAAATAAATAAAGCAGAGGCGAGGCGTAGCGACCCCTCCTCGGCGCCCGGGGACAAACTTTCAATTTGGCGCCCACCCCCTTTTATTTTTTTATATTTATAATTCAAAATAGTAGCTACAATTAGCTTATTTCGGCGCCCGGGGACATATGTACCCCCCCCCCCCCATCCGTCGCTACGCCTCTGAAGTAAAGTTTATTAGTTAAGAAGTTTTTTTTTTTTTCTGGAGCCGACCCCCTTGATAATAGAACCCCATCTGCTCACTTCAGGACGCACCACCCCCTGCCCTGGGTACCGTCGTCATGGACGCTCACCTACTCTACGGCTTCGTGACTGTGAGATGGGACAACGGCCACGTAGACAAGTACAAGATGGGCTTCGACAACATGTACCAGCTACGGCTGGCCAACACGGCTGCGGCTGGTGTGTGAAAAAAATATGTATGGTAGAGAGGGGGGAGCAGTAGCGTCAAAAAACGGGGGGGGGGGGGGGCGGTCCGCATTTAAACGGGTTGTTACCAAATCGAAAAAACGTGAAGTTTGATATCTAAACTGATGTATACAGTTAAATAAAATAATAAAGCAGTAGGAGAAAGAGGTGTCACCAAAACTAAAATGCGACATTGTTGGGGGGTGGTGGGGTTACGCCCACAGTGCACCGGACAACACCGGACCTTTTGACGTCACTCGGGGTTTAAGGGGGGGGGGGGGGTAGTCTGATTTTATATGACGTGTACAAATTCGTCGGAACAATTTTACTAAAACACCAAATTGTTTAACGAAAGGTGAATTAGTATTCTATCGCTCAAGTGCCATTGACATTTTTTCCCTGATATATTGCTCATGTAATATAATTATATAATCAGAATAAATACATTTTGAATGTAGACCTTCTATGATATTTAACATACTAGGATATGTTATGTAATTTATTGCTATATAGATTGGGAAAATTAATCTTCCTAAAACTTTCAACTATGTTTTAATGAAATTTCAGAAAATATTACTGAAATTTTTATTTGATCTTGGTTTTTTGGGAAAGGCGAGGGGGTAGTGTGTTCTAATTTCGTGGGGGGGGGGGGTACATATCTAGAAGCTAATAACCTACTGTAGGCGAGGGGCGGGGGAGGGTAAGTAATAATCGTTTCAGTTAAAATTTTAGTTGTATATATTTATATGAAATTTCTTAAGAATTTGAGTTAGGTTTCAATATTATCTGAGATATTGTACCTATCATTTAAAATGTAAAACTTTTTTTTAATAAAGTAGGTAAAGTAGAGTAGGCCTATATTCTGTAAGTGTGCAATGTTCTGCTACACTTTTAAATTTACATTTTTCATTGTATTTTTTTTTCGTCAAAATTAGACGGCAATTGTATGTTATGAAGGTATAAAAAGCTATATACTCTTACTTAACACGATTCTGATAGTTTATTGTTTCATGTATTGATTGTTTAACATTGTGTTGGTCTGGAGGTAAAGACTTTAAGCAACAAGCCTTTTTCTGTGCAGTGATGTGACTCCGATGGTTATTGTATTAACATTTCTAACACGTGTGTAACCCACCAGAGGCGTAGCTAGGGGAAGATGGGTAGGGCGCCGATCCTAAGGGGGCGCTACACGTGAAAAATACTAAAATAAAAAGCTCATTACTGAATTGCAAACAGTCGAAGTAAAGAATAAAGACTGCTACTTGGCATGACGGACTAATTTTACTGTTTTCTTCATCAATCATGTGACATCAACATTTAAAAAAGCAAAGTGACTGGTAAAAAGCGCCCCGACCTTCCCAACTAATAGAGGGGGGTGGGGGTGCGTTTTTCACCAACACGAATAACTGTACATATACCTAATTTAATGAGGGGGGGGGGGGTGCAAAATTGATAAGTCGCCCTGAGCAGCCGAAATAGATCGCTATGAATATGTAAACAACTGAGTTTAGAATCAAGTGAAAGTGTTAGTGTTGCTGCTTTGAGATTAAATCTCTAAGGACTGTTCAATATTTTTATAATTAATGTGCAATGGTATTAATAAAACATGTATACTCAATTTTGTTTCGTGTAGTTTTTGTGTGGCTTTCTTATATATTGGACTTGTTTGTTTGCTGAGTGTTACTATTACTTTAGGTTCACCAAACGAAATAGAATAAATAGTTAAAACAACATTGTTGGGAACATTTCCAGATAAGCCCCGCCTAAAAATCTGGAAAAGACCATTTTGTAATCCCAACACAATGCTTTTCTCTAAAATCAATCAAATATAGTTAAAGCTATTGTTTTTGACCTAACTTCAAGGCTTTTTTTATATAGCCATCCAAACTTTGTGTTATTAACGGAATACTAAGGTTAGTATCAATAAACGGAAATGCAGCCTCAAAAAACACAAACGTATATTCAAGGTCTATTCATATTATTATGATTTTATAACATTATCTTTTTTATATTATTATTTTAAAACTTTCAACTTAAATTTTATTATGGTAAAATCAGAAAGTTTACACAAACACGCAGACATATATATTTATCAGTAGCGTAGCGAGGGGCGGGGGTGACATATGTCCCCGGGCGCCGACCTTAGGGGGCGCCAAAATGGGTTGGAAAAATAAATTGAAAGGTTGAGGGGGGTGCAAATCGAACGTTTGAAGGGAGAGGGGGTGCAAATCGAAATGTTTGTCCCCGGGCGCCGGGAAGGGTCGCTACGCCTCTGATATTTATGTAAATAATAATAATGATTGGCTTCCTTTTATCAAGCATTTAAAAAAAATATATAGACTCACCCTTTCAGAATGCACTTTGTTCTTTGATAATGTCCGTGCATTTATCGTTTCAGCTGTATCAGATAAACTTTCTTTTCTAGAGATTCTTAGCTGAACTCAAAATGTGATAAATGCTCCCGGTATGAAGCTCAGTTGTTAAGCTTAAAACATGTTGCATCGTATCGATACTATCACCTGTTTGATAATATCGATACTACCATCTGTATGATAATCCATGGATTAACAGCAGATGCGAATAAAATATTCTTTTAGGATTGGATTAGAGGTTTGCTTTGATGGATAAAGTGGAGTGCGCCAATCAATGTTTCTTTCAGACTTTTTTCTTCTGGGGGGGGGGGGGTGCGGATTAAATTTTCCGGCGGGGGGGGGGGGGGGTCAATAGTAAATAAACATATGTGTTTTATGTAAAATCCATTTCGTTCGTGGGGTGCGGTAGACTTTCTTCGGAAGGGGGGGTGGGGGGAGGGGGGGGGGTGGGGTTGATGGCTCTCCAAAGAGATGCCTTGAAGAGACTGGCGACAATCACCAATGAAAGCGGGTTTCGTAGAAAACAACACGGAGTCGTTGATGTCGGTAAAGAGAACAGAGACCGGGCCGTTCTTTGTTTTTGGTTTTAGATTTGGCGACAAAAAGTGGATGAAGTTTCTGCATTTTTAGTATTAAATTTAAATTTATTCAAGGTTTCTTTCAGTCTTTCGTCTCAGGTGGGATGAATGAAGGGTCAAGGGGGCGCTTTTACAATTTCCATGTGGGCTTTGTTTAAACTATATATTATCTATTGATCTAGGACAGGGGTCTCCAAACTTTTCAGCCCGAAGGCCGCATTAACTATCAAATATCAGTTCGCGGGCCAGAGTAGAGTTTCTTCCATGCATCATTTGGGGTGGCGGTGTCCCCCGTGCCCCTCCCCCCCCCCTCCGAAGAAATAAAGTTTATATAGACATATAAACACATTTTAAATGCAACCCCCCCTCCCTCCTTCCAGGTGAAAAAGCCTGAAAGAAACACTGTCCGGCCGACAACACACTCAAGGTCCAAGCTTGTTCTCCTCTATCAAACACAAAAACCCACCCGCCATTTTTGAACTTGTCTCTAAGGAGGTCATTTGCTTGCAATTCAATGACCTCCATCTGCAGTTCATCTGGGTAACTGGTTACATTTGCTTCAAATGGGTTTTGAAGCAGTCTCACTTCTACACTGCTGAAAGTGCGAAAGTGCGTCGTTGTTGTCCTGTACTTGTTCCAAAAACACGGAACAGCTGTCCAGCGACTCTATTTGAGTCACAATGTTTTCATCAATGTTTGCAACACGGAGGGCAAAGGTATTTATACCCAAAGCTAGATTTACAAATTGTTTTGTATTTTCTGAGCAAAGTACCTCAGCCACTTCTAACACACATTTTTTTTCCGTGAACAAAAAGATCTCCGCGGGCCTGATGAGAGGACCTCGCGGGCCGCATCCGGCCCTCGGGCCGTAGTTTGGGGACCCCTGATCTAGGAGTTAAGGGATGGGCCATACATGATGTTTCATTTTTGGAGGAATATAGTGGGAGGGGCGGAAAATTTGGATATTTTATGACAATAGGAGAAGGTTGTACATTACATTTGTGAATTGAAATATCTTAAAGAGTGGATGAGAAACCTTACATCATGAATGTTGACATAGATTTTTAAAAAAACGCGTTCTTTTTTGTTTCGCCTTCATTTCGGCCTTAAAAAATAAAATTAAATTAAAACAAAAACTTTAAGCATCGATGACATAAAAATTACAAATGTACAGAATAATTTTTATGCCTTTAAGCTACATTTTTTAAAATTTTCATCTAGCTTAAATTTTAACCCTGAAATTTCATTTTCGTAAGACAAGCATTGATTGGTATTTTTCTAGTAATTTGTACCGAAAACTTTGCCGATAAATATTTGAATAAATTGCACTTTGTTTGATCCACATGGCCTACATATGCCATGTTTAGGTAGATTTTCAGTGACAAAATGTAAAAGACCAATTATTTTTTTGCTTTAAAAAAAAAATCTTTAATTACTGAAAATTCTAAAACGTCAAATACTTAAATATTTTTTTTAAGTAAAGTCCGACAAAAGCCATACAGTCAGGTTTTTATTATTACACTATCATCGTACATGATTTTAAAAATAAATAGCCTTTCGACTAATTTCGTTACAATTCTCGTTAATCTCAAATTATAATGTTTGAAAACAATTAGACAAGCATTTTTAAAGAATTTTTATTGTAAATTGTAAGAAAAATTAATCACGGATTAAACTTGTCTAGAATTGACCAAAGATTTTAAAGTGCCGATGTTATTTGCTGAATGAATTTCGTTTTTTTTTTAAATTTCACAAAGTCCCCATTACAAGAGTAAGCATAGCTACTTTAATGATGAAGAAATCGAGATTTCACAGCAGATACTGTATTGTACACTGTGGGGCAGGTCTCTACTGATAGGGCCTACACAGGTTTTGGCCGGGGTAGGGCTTTTGGACTTCAGTAAGATAAGCGAAAAAAGTGTGTAGTCATTTCAAGACTACAACATAGTGAGCACACAGTCATCGCAATGCAAGGCAGTGGCGACGCTAGATCTGGGGTCACCCGGTGCGGCACTTAGTGGTGTCCCCCCCCCCCCACAAGTAACAAAGTATATATATATATATATATATATGTATGTATATATATATATATATATATATATATATATATATATATATATATATATATATATATATATATATATATATATATATATGCATATATATGTGTGTGTGTTTGTATGTCGGCCTACAGACTTAATGGTAACGATGTTTATCTATAGTCTGTTAATAATACAGTTGGATGTAGCATTGTTTTCTTTATATTTCGCACATATACTTCATGGCGTCACCTCAACCTTGTAATAATTGTTTGTACTATTTAACTTTTTTATTTAACTATTTAATAATCATTAATGGAAATGGCAAAAAGGCAGTTTTCTTCTGTACATTTTGCGATTATTTGCCTTGATGTCACCCCCCAAAATAGTCAGCCCCCCCCCCCCCGCGCTGGCTACTCGATGATACAAAATGGGACATTTAAACAGCTTTAATAGATTAGTTTAGTAATGACAAAAATTGTAATCAGTTTTTGATGTATTAAAAAAACTGTATTATATAAATCAAACATATCTGTGAGTATGTATTCATCACGTGTCTGAGTGTATTATACTGTTTCATACTATACTATATCATTAGGCGTTGTACATTTATCGTCACCCCACCACTTCTTCATATCATAAACCTTTGGCTGAACTTTGTGTGTGTTCAAATACTGACACAGTCTACACCCTACAAAACCCAAACCCCCCTTATGATTCGCGTTTGGTTTGTCCATAACTTGGTACTCGTCCTTCATCTCCAACATCCGGCTATATCTGTCTACATCGCCGGTCAAATTTTTCAAATAAAGGGCCAAACTTTTGGCGTTTTTAAAATCGGCCGCGTTGATGAATAAATTTTTGGGGAAGAATTTCTTGTAGTCCCCGCCCCCTCTGACGACGGGAATCACGTGCACGCCTGGCCGGAACAGCTTGAACAGTTTCTCTGTGATGTAATCCTTGCAGATGGAGTTTTCAAACGACAGGTAAAATTTGTATATGTCCGTTAGGTTTTTCAAACACGGTTCTTCAGATCTTGAGCATGGCATGCCGCAGTCTCCGTAGATGTCCACATCGATGTATTTCTGAAGGGATTGAAAGGAGCTAATATATATATATATATATATATATATATATATATATATATATATATATATATATATATATATATATATATATATATATATATATATATATATATATATATATATATATATATATATGTATGTATATATATATGTATATATATGTATAAATATGTATATATATATATATATATATATATATATATATATATATATATATATATATATATATATATATATATATATATATATATATATACATATATATGTATATGTATATATATATATATATATATATATATATATATATATATATATATATATATATATATATATATATATATAGAGGCCCTATGTATATATATATATATATATTATATATATACATTTATATATATATGTATTTATGTATACACACACACACACACACACATATATATATATATATATATATATATATATATATATATATATATATATATATATATATATATATATATATATATATATATAGTTATATGTATGTGTGTGTATAGTGGTCGGACTATAGAGCACACAACTACTGAACTGAAGGTCTAAAGTTCGGACTCCGGGTTCGAGTTCGTAGGTCGTCCCTCAGTCCATCTACCTCTGACACGTGCGTGACTATTTTTGTTTGGAAAGTAAAGTTTGTTGGGCAAAGTGCTGCCAACACCGTATCTTCAATAGCCAATTTCACTGAAACAGGTCAACTCTACTTCACCTGCGCCCCTGACATGTTAGATTCAAAATGATTACATTTAAAAAATTAAAGTCTTAGGTTTTGATGATTTTTACCTTTAGTTGAGAGAATTATAAAGGCACATACACCATAACGTCAACATACATAGCTTGCAAACATAGGTTATACGAACATTTAATACGTGCGCCTACGCAATACAGTTATGATCTCAAGACATATTCACCTGCATTTCTTTAACGTATTCAGCTCTCAAGGAGGGAACATGACATCTAGAGACGAACCAGGCAACTGATCTAGTTTTTCTTCTGGTCAGGTCAGCTAAGATTTAAAAAATAAATATTTGCTATTGTTTTATATTTTATTTCATAATATAGATTATAGGTATCATCATATCTAAACTATATATATTTTGTTTTCTAAGATGGGTACCATCATTGCTAAACGATTTATATTTTGTTTTGGTAGATGGGTACCATCATTGCTGAACGATTTATATTTTGTTTTGGTAGATGGGTACCATCATTGCTAAATGATGTTAAGTTTTAATAGTTGGGAATACCATAGCCTAATGTATGTAGAACTAGACTTGGCTTGCATAGGCATTTATCAAGATGTTTAGTAGCTCATTTAACCATACATATAACTCGTGTATAGTCACTACAATATGGATCTCGCGACGCCTAACAAAAACACTTTACAATGCTTATATTCTTAGAAATATTAAAGTTACGTAAAGTTCACTTTTTGAACCTGACGTTCCATGGGGCAAGTGAAGTAGAGTTCACCTGTTTCTGTGACGTCGGCTTACAAAGGGACAATGTCAGCACTATGCCCAGCCATCTTTTCTTTCTTTAGCGTGTGTGAGGTACCCATCTGATCTTGGTGGAATCAGAGACGTTATAAACTGACTTGATTCGAAACCGGTTTCGAACTCGGGACTCGGGTTAGCAGATAGACAATGCAGTCCTCTTAAGAAATATTACGACTTATAATTTTTTTAAAATGTGTGTCTCGTATACGATTAAACATATGATACAAACAGTCGTTTTAAGTTTAATTATTATTTTATAGTTTCTTCTTGTAATGAGCAGAGCGCAGTGGCGTAGCCAGGATCGTCTCAAGGGGGGGGGTCCAATTTTTACCCGGGGACATACTTTCGAGTTGCACCCCCCCCTCCTCAAACTTTCGATTTGCACCCCCCCCCCCTAACCCCCCCCCCCCCCCCCCGCCTACGCCACTGGCAGAGCGGTACCATTCACAACTTTTAAACAGTTTTAGTATTATTGCCTTTCGGACCCGTAATGTGTACAAAACGAATAGCAATGTGCACATAACTAAGATTTGTTGTACTTAGGATAGTAGACTTCGTCAAGTTTACTCCAATATTGACAGTTCGAGATCGATCTTTGATCACCTTCACACATCAGGACTCTCTCGCAATGACTAAACGTAAAAGGGGACATCACTGAGTAAATAATACAAGGGACTTAACAATAACTAGCTAGACATAACGTATGACGTACACAATTGATCTTGATTGCGGGTTTAAAATTAAATGACATCGTTTTAAACTAAAATACGTTGTAGCAATACGCCAGAGGAAAGTGTGCATACATAGTACAGCTCCGATCACACGTCTTCTATCTACAGATTTTCTTGCAGGTATCTCTTCGGGAAGGGCGGAGAGTCGCGCCCCCCCCCCCCCCCAACGAAATATTATTTATATAGAAAACATATATTTTTACCAGTGTCCAGCAACATGAAATATTAGTCCGTCCCCCTCCCCCTCAACCTAAAAAATTTCAAGTCGCAACCCCCGGAGAAAAATGTCTGAAAGAAACACACTCGTCTTCTCTCATTCATAGAACACCGAGTGACATCAACAACACGGCTACACACTATACAGAGACTAGACATTCAAGGGACATTTTTAAGATATGTATAAAACAAGGGACGTAACAATAACAATAAGACATAACGTAACAAGGGTATGGTTGCCTTAAATACGAAAACAAAAGACAAAACAGAATTAAATATTAGGTAGATGGTCAAACGTCTACTTACAATAATTTGGCCTTTCTACTCCGAGCTTTGATTTCTTTCTTAGCTGACCATACGGTACAAATATATCAGAGTCAACCCTGTAGGTCATGGTTAGGTTGAAGATGTGGTTCCATTTGGATGAGCTATCTATGAAGAGATGTATACAATATAAACTCAGTGGCGTCGCTAGGGCGGGTTTTACCCGGACCCGGTGCGGCACTTCATGGTGTCACCACCACCCGGAAATGAAAAACCTATAGGGTATATATAGTATATATATATATATATATATATATATATATATATATATATATATATATATATATTGTCTGAGATCATTTCTCCATTGTATCATTTGTCCTGATATATTTTGTCCTAGTATCTTTTGTCCGTGAGATAATTTGTCCTTGAGATCATTTGTCCTGAGATCATTTGTCCTAAGATAATTTGTCCGTGAGATATTTTGTCTGACGTATTTTGTCTGAGATAATTTGTCCTGTCATCCTTTTATCTCCGGGGGGGGGGGGGGCACTTGATATTTTCGGGGTGGGGGGGAGGGGGTGGGGGGACGACATTGGTAAAAATATATATTTTCTATATAAATCTATATAAATTCCATTTCGTTCGGGGGGGGGGGGGGGTAGACTTTCTTCCGCCGAAGAGATGCTTGGAAAAAAATCTGGGATCAATAGATTTATACAAAAAGACACTTAATATAAATATTAACAACGATATAACACACAATATACTCAGACTAGCAGTAGACAGAGACATAAACAGCCAAACAGCGGCGCAATAATTCTGGACTACTTAACAAAACAACACGAACAGTTTACGACAAGAAACGAAAGGATACATTCGTCTTTTAACCCACGGATAATAATAATAATAATCAGGCAGCATACTCAAGCCACTCACATTCATCAGGATTTGTTGGTTAACTCAATCCGTCCCATGAGCCGCGATATGCGGCTTGGGCCAGTTTCACCGTAGGCCCGCGAGCCGCAAGGTACGGCTCGACACGACTTGTGTTTGTTTCTCTAACAAGTTATTTAACATGTAAAAAACCTACATTCTTTAACATAACTCACAATTATCTTTATTTACTACTATAGAAATTTCATTTCTGTTCATTTTGATGTATAATACATAAATCTGGTTAGAAAAACATAGGAGCTATACTTGTTTAAGTAGGTGAGGGCTGTTTAAAAAAATTGGGTCACAGAAATAATGAGGTCAGGAGGTGGAAACGCCTCTGGTATAGAAAGAAGGTGTACAAGCATTTTTCATTCACTCAGCTTATAAATTATAAACATTCTTCACTTACTGCGCATGTACGTTGAACTCGTGCGAACCGGAGGCTCCCATAGCTCCATCACATACAGCGCATCCGGTCTCGCAGAAGGCAGCTTGTAGTTTTCAGTCAACTTTTGACTGTACACAACAATCACATCAGTCTCATGCGTTACCTTGTCGCCGCTGAACACGCAGTTTGAATATTCGCAAACGGAAAAATCAAAATCCTCCTCCAACTGCCATAATGGTCGTTCCAACACAGCAACGCGAAAAGTTTTATTTGATTTGATCTTCGCCTTGTTTGTCTCTTGAGAGATGTACGGCATCTCCAAAGTTTCAGGGGAAGAGAACTCTTTCGGCTTGTCAGTAACGATAACTTGTGGCTTGTTGGTAATGCCAGCGAAAGAGGAAGGAAATGGTATCGTGGTGTCAGTAAAAGTTTTCATGTAAAACAGAACACCTGATCCAGCTAAAACAATGAACAGAACTCTTAAATGGTTGCAATGATGAAGTGTGGTGAAGCTGAAACAAAAATTAAAATGATATGTATATAAAATATTATTTTATAATATACTAGACGACCTTGTTTTCCGTTCAAAATTGGTCTATCTACTGCAATACGCCAAGGTATAGATTTATAATCAAATAATGTAGTTATAGCGTTAGTTTGAAAAATCGAACCACACTGCATAATGGTTTAAAAGCAGGAGTGAGCAGCCCTTATCTTTCTCGCATACTATTTTAAACAATACGTATTAGGTTGACACTTTCAGTGACATCGGACTCCATAAATGGTAGATAACTTTATAACAAAACAGATAATTTTTTTTCCAGAAAACAAAAAATGTCATATGTTGGTTTATGGGAATATGATATATAAAATTATCAAATTTTATTTATTTAGGCACAATTTCCGGTCACCGAAAAACTCTAAAAAGTGGGATAAATATAGGCCTACATACGGGGTCTAATAGATCGGGTACCTATCGGTTAAAATACAATTATTTAAGATTTAGCTTATGGCTGATAGTTAATGTTTACCAATTACTCTAACTGTTAAGCTCGTAACATTTCTGTTGTTTTAAAATAACTCGCTGACGTTAATTGATCTACATTAAATCTTTACGAAGGCTCACACTGTTATCAAATCAATCCAACATAACAGTATATTATTTTTTTAAAATCTATACCCCCGTAGGCCTCAACACTACTCGTCTAAGCCCATCTTAAGTAGAGTTCACTTGTTTCTGTGACCTCGTCATTTTATGGAGATACTCTGGTCAGCACTAATCATATTTATATAACACCCTGAAACATGTTAAATAAAAATATTTTTAAAAAAATCTGTACTGTCTAGATAAGAACACATTGAATCAGTTACGAGTTTGAAAAAGTTCATCTAAAAGTTTATAATATGCTTTTATAAAATACTCACCAAAAATGTTGCTATTAAGTATGTAATAATCACAAACATAAGCTGGACATAGGAATCAAGTTCAATAAAGTGTAAAAATGTAAAACAAACTCACCAGTGTAAACCCATAGTGTCACGTGTTATCATGTAGGTACAAAATAATTGTCTCTCGTAGGGCTGTTTTAAAAACGATTTAGTTGAAGGATAGTTATTGATGTGCGGGATGTAGGCTAACTAGGCTCGCGCGGTCGCCACCTTGGCTTTTTGATTGAGTGCTGGTTGACGCATTGCACAAAACTGACACTTAGTCTATATTTTGTTTATAAATGGCCTTGAAGTAATGGTAGTGAAAAAAGCTAGTGAAAAAGTGTGAACTTCTTTTTCGTTCTTAATTAAATTTTAGTGTTGGAAGGGATCACCCTCCTTCATAATTATGGATACGTGTCAACTGGTTATGCGCCATTGAGCCATTGACTTCATAATAACAAGCTTTTCTTCTTCTTCCTTCTTACTTTTATTGTTGGAAGGGATCCCTTCCAACACAATTAAGTATACGACATTGAGGCAGATGACTCCGATTTCAGCTTGCTTTTCTTTTTGGATTTGCTTCCATAGCCTGTGTCCAGCCAAGAACAAATTACAATGCAGCAGTTGTTTGATTTTGGAGTGCTAGTGGCACTTATTACTTCTATCCCACAAATCCAAAAAGAAAAGCAGATTGAAATCGGAGTCAACCGCCTAAATGGCGCATAACCAGTTGACACGTAACACTTAATTGTGTTGTAGGGAATCCCTTCCTGCGCTAAAGAAGAAAGAAGAACAGCCGTGTATCGGACACAATTTTAGATTATATCTGAGGCCGTATGCTCCACAAGAAGTAAAGAGGATTTAGTCTAGTAGGTCAAGTGTTATGTCTTAACCTAATAGTCTTGTGATAACTAACATTTTGCTTCATTAAGTAAATTAATACATAGCTTCACTGATCAGATGAGCCTCACTGGAAATCAATGTATGCTTACGTTTTCTTCCCAGTATAGGATAAACAAAAGCAATAAATGTCGCAATTAAAACCGATCATTAGGTGTATGAAGCTCAAGGTTTTACAATCAACACGTTGTGTATCTCTAAAATGTGTGAGTAGAGCTCAACGGAAGAGGTCATAAATGTCATTTTGTGAAATGTCAAAAGGACCAGATTTTAGGTGATATAGTCATTGTGGTGTCTTTGATGTAAGCCTTGTATATACTTCAAAGCTATGATATAAACACATAGTTGAGATTAGTAGCAAATAAGTGAAATTGGTAAAACCAGTGGCGTAGTGAGGTCGGGTATTACCCGGTGCGGCACTTAATGGTGTCACCCCCCCCCCCACAGAGGCGTAGCGACCCTTCCCGGGAACAAACTTTCGATTTGCACACCCCCCCCAAACTTTCGATTTGTACCCCCCCCCCCCCCCACCCTCAAACTTTCGATTTGCACCCCTTTAAAAATCTATTTAACACTCGAATTACTCACTTAATTAAGTGGAATTATAATTTTTTCTATATATTTTGCTATTTTTTTGCCTTGGTGTCACCCCCCTAAATGGTGTCACCCGGTGCGGTCCGCACCCCCCGCCCCCCACCCCTCGCTACGCCGCTGGGTAATGGGTTGGTATGCTGGGAAATGCCGAATTTTCAGATAATCGATTGAACTGGTCAATAAGATAAAAACGAGCGCTAGAATTCCAGCTAGGATAAAACTGAAGGATGTGATTACAAATTCTGATCAAGGTATGTAGTGTGATTTATAATTAAAACCAATAATGACGATTTGAGAATTGATAAACAAAATTGACGATTTGACTTTAAAAATCCAAACACGGAAAATATTTTTTTAGTGATAAATAAACTATTATAGATTTATTAGAGATTTAATGATGGACAAAATGGACGATTTCAGTTGGCCAATATTCTTTAGATTACCAATAATTGATATATTTAATACACTCTCTTGTTGGGGGTAATTTGTGTTTCACTGTTAAATATTATGCGGTTTACTCTGGATTTTCTTTTTTTTTTCTTACGTAATTTTCATTGCATAAAATATTTCATGCATTTCTAAAGATTGATACATTATGTTGTATTATAGAGCTACACATTTTAAATAGTTTGTGTGTGCCTGGAATCGTAATGTATCTTGCGTTCCAAAAAAAAGTGTGAGTTTAAAATGTCGTGGGATATATGATACACACATTTTCACTAAACCCATGTTTTGTTTTCAAAACTTGATACTAAAGTTAACAGTAGGTGGTTAAACCAGGTACATAAAACATCAAACTTTAAAATAAAGCACGGTATATGTCCAAGAGCTCTTCATGATTGAAACTGGTGATTCTCATGACGTAGAAACAAAACTATGAAGGTACACGTGTATGTGTCAACAATCAATGAATGCATGAAAATAACGTTAAAAAATGAAGTTCTTAAAACTTATATCCCAATGTTAAAAATAGATATTTTATTGGTCTAAATTTGATTGATTCATGCTTATTATCATTATTATCATTTATTTAAAAACATTCACACATGACAAAGTTATATTTTATAAATTCTCAAGTCAATAAATGCAATTTTTAAAATAAATATTTAATGTTTTGAAGCTTCTCAAAGTGTTGATCGACAGATGCACGTTGTTCTCTTCTTAAAACATTCTAAGATTTCTCCTTATCTTTACTCTGTTTTTTTGACGTTGTAATATATGCAAATTATCCTTATTTTTCGTCGTTTTTTGACGTTGAAACGCATTCTCATATATCGCTTTATTTCTGCGTTATTTTATCGATTTAATACATTCACATTCTCCTATTTTTACGCTGTTTTTTAATACATTTGAGATATCTCATTACTTTCGCTATGTTTTCGACATTTTAATACATTCTCATTCTCCTTATTTTTGCTGTTTTTAACGTTTTGCTACATTCTCATTCTCATTTTGCTCTATTTTTCACATTGTCACACATTCTCAGCTATCTCCTTGTTTTAGCTATGTTTTCCGACCTTATAATACATTATCCAGTTCCTCCATATTTCTGAGTTATTTTTTTCGACGATCCAGGACATTCGCTAACTCCCCACTTACTTCCGGATTGCCGGAATCATAAGAAATACGAACACGGGGGGTCGGGGTGCTGAGCGGAAGGGGTCGGGGGTACCCAAATCTTGTCGGAGAGGTTCCGGAAGAAGAAGGGTCGCACGTGACGGTAGCGGGAGTTGGTGTCGGAGGGTGTCGGCTGCTGTTGTCCGTACTGGGTTTCCAGCCTCGGCTCACACTTCAACTTCATCCTATAAATAGATTGTGTTAATCATGTGACTCAGCCTATAAATAGATTGTGGGTTAACGCTCACACTTCAACTTCATTCTATAAATAGATTGTGTTAATCATGTGACTCAGCCTATAAATAGATTGTGGGTTAACGCTCACACTTCAACTTCATCCTATAAATAGATAGTGTTAATCATGTGACTCAGCCTATAAATAGATTGTGGGTTAACGCTCACACTTCAACTTCATCCTATAAATAGATTGTGTTAATCATGTGACTCAGCCTATAAATAGATTGTGTTTACACCCCATCCTATAAATAGATTGTGTTAATCATGTGACTCAGCCTATAAATAGATTGTGTTTACACCCCATCCTATAAATAGATTGTTTTAATCATGTAGCTCAGCATATAAACAGATTGTGTTTACACCTCATTCTATAAATATATTGTGTTTACACCTCATCCTATTAATAAATTGTGTTTACACCTCATCCTATTAATAAATTGTGTTTACACCTCATCCTATAAATAGATTGTGTTTACACCTCATTCTATAAATATATTGTTTTATACCTCTTCGTATAAATAGATTGTGTTTACACTTCATCCTATGAATAGACTTGTGTTTACACCTCACCCTATAAATAGATTGTGTTTACACCTCACCCTATAAATAGATGGTGTTTACACCTCATCCTATAAATAGATTGTGTTTACATCTCATCCTATAAATAGATTGTGTTTACACCTCATCCTATAAATAGATTGTGTTTACACCTCATCCTATAAATAGACTGTGTTTACACCTCACCCTATAAATAGACTGTGTTTACATCTCATCCTATAAATAGACTGTGTTTACACCTCACCCTATAAATAGACTGTGTTTACACGCTACGTGTTTGAACCATGTGCCACGGATGCCGAACTAAGTGATGTCTTGAGTCCGCCTACCTCTAATGGGAACATGATGGCTGGGCATAGTGCTGACCACATTACTCCTTCATATGCCGAGGTAACAGAAACAGGGGTACTCTACATCACCTGCCACATGAATCCTCGCGTTCGAATATGTAGCTTTACCTAACTTCAACACACTAGTTGTTTAGTATTTATTTATACACGCTCACTAACTCGACGACACTTACTAGCTAGAGATACATACTCAATGACTTCAAGCAAACTCGATGTAATCTTGCATCAGTGCTAGCTATATAAAGCACCAGCATGCGCTCACCTGATTTCTCTCTCCACCGGAAGCTGCTTGACCACGTGAGCGCCATTGAAGTGCAGGAGGTTGGGGTCAAAGTTGTCCAGACGAAGCACGTTCTCACACGGCTTGCTTTCTCTGAAGACTGGGTCGTGCAGGTACCGGTACCAGTTAGCCATCAGCCTCTGGGGAGATTAGCGAGGATTATCAAGAGAATTAGTTGGACGTCAGCCTCTGGGGAGATTAGCGAGAATTATCAAGAGAATTAGTTGGTCGTCAGCCTCTGGGGAGATTAGCGAGGATTATCATTAGAATTAGTTGGTCGTCAGCCTCATGGGAGATTAGCGAGGATTATCATTAGAATTAGTTGGACGTTAGCCTCTGGGGAGATTAGCGAGGATTATCAAGAGAATTAGTTGGACGTTAGTCTCATGGGAGATTAGCGAGGATTATCAAGAAAACCAGTTGGACATCAGACTCTGGGGAGATTAGCGAGGATTATCAAGAGAATTAGTTGGACGTTAGTCTCATGGGAGATTAGCGAGGATTATCAAGAGAATTAGTTGGACGTTAGTCTCATGGGAGATTAGCGAGGATTATCAAGAAAACCAGTTGGACATCAGACTCTGGGGAGATTAGCGAGGATTATCAAGAGAATTAGTTGGACGTTAGTCTCATGGGAGATTAGCGAGGATTATCAAGAAAACCAGTTGGACATCAGACTCTGGGGAGATTAGCGAGGATTATCAAGAAAACCAGTTGGACATCAGACTCTGGGGAGATTAGCGAGAATTATCAAGAGAATTAGTTGGACGTTAGTCTCATGGGAGATTAGCGAGGATTATCAAGAAAACCAGTTGGACATCAGACTCTGGGGAGATTAGCGAGGATTATCAAGAGAATTAGTTGGACGTTAGTCTCATGGGAGATTAGCGAGGATTATCAAGAAAACCAGTTGGACATCAGACTCTGGGGAGATTAGCGAGGATTATCAAGAGAATTAGTTGGACGTTAGTCTCATGGGAGATTAGCGAGGATTATCAAGAAAACCAGTTGGACATCAGACTCTGGGGAGATTAGCGAGGATTATCAAGAAAACCAGTTGGACATCAGACTCTGGGGAGATTAGCGAGGATTATCAAGAGAATTAGTTGACCGTCAGCCTCATGGGAGATTAGCGAGGATTATCAAGAGAATTAGTTGACCGTCAGCCTCATGGTAGATTAGCGAGGATTATCAAGAGAATTAGTTGGCCATCAGCCTCATGGAGGGTTATCGAATTCCATATGAAGGAGGTATATCATCAGCATATTGGGAGATTAGCGAGGATTATCAATAGAAGTAGTTATTCGTCAATTATATTCAGTTGACCGTCAGGCTGTGGGGAGATCAGCAAGGATTATCAATATAATAAGTTGACCATCAGCTTCTGTGGAGAATAGCGAGAATTTCTAGAACTAGTTGACCATCACCCACTGGGAAGATTATGGAGGATTATCGGATTCCATATTATCGAATTGACAATAAGCTTCTATTGGAATAAGCGAATATTTTCAGAAATTTAGAAACCAATTGGATTTCTATGGAATTCCAAAACAAAATGAACATTTAGCCTTCATTCTTGGTGTGTGTGGGGGGGGGGGGGGCATCAGTGAGGTAAAGATTAGACACCGACTATGTTTGTCTCACATATGCGTCCGGCAGTTTGACCTCACACACACACAAACACACACAAACACACACAAACACACACAAACACATACACACACAAACACATACACACACAGACACGTACACAAACACACACAAACACAAAGCACGCTAGACCTTGATTACCCCGTTAAGGAATAACATTTTTTCGTTGTTATTACTACGTGTTTTACTCGAATGCTGTTGAATGCTTAATAACTTTTATAATTAAAAAAAAAACCTCGGTACTAGTTACAAAGAAAAAAAAATCCTACAAGGTTACAAGCAAGGCAATAAAAATTCCGGTGCATATCGCGGCTGAGTCACCCAGAGGGGAAATGAATGACAATCCGTGTTTCTTCCAGACTTTTTTCTCCGAGGGGGGGGGGGGGCACTTAAAATTTCGAGGGGGGGGCGGACTAAAATTTCGGAGGTGGGGGCGGATACTGTTAAAAGTATATTTTTTTTTTCTATATAAATTCCATTTTGTTTGGTCGGTGGCGGTAGACTTCCTTCTGGGGGGCTCTGCCCCCCCCCCCCCCCCCTTAACTCCGAAGAGATGCCTGGAAGAAACACTGATGACAATTTTGTGAAAGAAACGTTAGATCCCTATAAGGGAAACTAAGGGAACCTCAGATCCCAAGCCTGGATAAAGTGCACTAGTTCCTGAACGGTTCTCACATCGACACAACGGTGGTTAATGTTACTCTTTCGGTGCCAGTTAAAGTGGAAAATAAGGCGTTCCAATGCATAAAAAAAAACCATTGCTTTTTTTTTACACAATGCGAGAGTGTGTGCAAGTCTTTACAAAAATACTAACCAGACGATGTCTTTGTGCTTTACATAAGGATTCTGATCAGTGTTTCTTCTAGACTCCCCCCCCCCTCTCGAAGAAATTCTACAGCCTCACCGAACGAAATGGAATTTAGATAGAAAACATAATTTTACCAGTGCCCCCACCCCCCAACTGGAAAATGTTGTCCGACCCTCCGAAAATATCAAGTGCCCCCCCCCCCCTCCCCCACGAAAAAAAAGTCTGAAAAAAAAAAACCCAATCCTTTTTTATGCGCAATCGACTTCCTTAACATACTAACCATTTAATGAGTTTTTTTTACCGTCAAGAGATATCCTTCAAGACCTACGGATCAATGCGAGATCTTTGAGGTATTTGGATTATGAATTAGGCACCGCTGTCATTACTTTCCGCGACTATAGTCATGTTATGCGGTCGGCGTGGCAAAGTCGGTATGGCCCGTGTGTATTCAACCTAAGTCGTCTGCGTCGTGGTCTGATTGTGAAGAGAGACATTCACCAGTTAAAGACATTTCCGGAGTTCCTCCAGATATCAATAGGGTCAGGATTTGAATTCGTTCACTACGTTCAATTATCTTTTGTTGGCAAATACTAGGCTTAAAAAACAGTCCACAAGAGAAAAGTCAAATTTTTTTTGTTGTTGTAACGGATTGAAAGAAAATCTATTCAAGGTTAATGTCACACATAAACATGTAAAGAAATGTTCAAAATTAAAATTTGGTTTCGGTTTTTTTTCGTTTCCAACTCGTATAAAAAATACTAACTATTCAAACATACTATGCTTGCTAAGACAAACTACACCTTATTTTACGTTTGAAGGAAGTCCCTCATCCACTCTCGTTCTAAAGAGTATATATCTTGAATTAGGAGAGAAGAATAGCTGTGTTTAGTGCTGGATCAGGGAGAAGAAGCACCATGGTAAATTGGCCTAAGGGATAGTGGCCAAACGTTAAATTGGTCCAAAGGCAAAGTGGCCCACAGACAAAAACGCACCATTGCAAGGTGGCGCCGATGAGTACAGCCAAGGGTAAAATGGCCCCAAGTTTAATTGGTCTCAGGGTAAAGTGACCCTTAGGTAAAGTGGGCCCAAGTTTAATTGGCCCCAGGGTAAAGTGACCCTTAGGTAAAGTGGCTCCAAGTTTAATTGGTCTCAGGGCAAAGTGACCCTTAGGTAAAGTGGCCCCAAGTTAAATTGGTCTCAGGGTAAAGTGACCCTTAGGTAAAGTGGCCCCAAGTTAAATTGGTCTCAGGGTAAAGTGACCCTTAGGTAAAGTGGCCCCAAGTTTAATTGGCCCCAGGGTAAAGTGACCCTTAGGTAAAGTGGCCCCAAGTTTAATTGGTCTCAGGGCAAAGTGACCCTTAGGTAAAGTGGCCCCAAGTTTAATTGGCCCCAGGGTAAAGTGACCCTTAGGTAAAGTGTCCCCAAGTTAAATTGGTCTTAGGGTAAAGTGACCCTTAGGTAAAGTGGTTGAAAGTTTAATTGGTCTCAGGGTAAAGTGACCCTTAGGTAAAGTGGCCCCAAGTTAAATTGGTCTCAGGGTAAAGTGAACCTTAGGTAAAGTGGCCCCAAGTTTAATTGGTCTCAGGGTAAAGTGACCCTTAGGTAAAGTGTTCCCAAGTTAAATTGGTCTCAGGGTAAAGTGACCCTTAGGTAAAGTGGCTCGAAGTTAAATTGGTCTCAGGGTAAAGTGACCCTTAGGTAAAGTGGCCCCAAGTTAAATTGGCCCCTGGGTAAAGTGACCCTTAGGTAAAGTGGCTCCAAGTTAAATAATTATTGGTCTTAGGGTAAAGTGACCCTTAGGCAAAGTGGCTCCAAGTTAAATTGGTCTCAGGGTAAAGTGACCCTTAGGTAAAGTGGCCCCAAGTTAAATTGGTCTCAGGGTAAAGTGACCCTTAGGTAAAGTGGCCCCAAGTTAAATTGGCCCCTGGGTAAAGTGACCCTTAGGTAAAGTGGCTCCAAGTTAAATAATTATTGGTCTCAGGGTAAAGTGACCCTTAGGTAAAGTAGCTCCAAGTTAAATTGGTCTCAGGGTAAAGTGACCCTTAGGTAAAGTGGCCCCAAGTAAAATTGGTCTCAGGGTAAAGTGACCCTTAGGTAAAGTGGCCCCAAGTTAAATTGGCCCCTGGGTAAAGTGACCCTTAGGTAAAGTGGCCCCAAGTTAAATTGGTCTCAGGGTAAAGTGACCCTTAGGTAAAGTGGCTCCAAGTTTAATTGGTCTCAGGGTAAAGTGACACTTAGGTAAAGTGGCTCCAAGTTAAATTGGTCTCAGGGTAAAGTGACCCTTAGGTAAAGTGGCCCCAAGTTAAATTGGCCCCTGGGTAAAGTGACCCTTAGGTAAAGTGGCCCCAAGTTAAATTGGCCCCTGGGTAAAGTGACCCCAAGGTAAATTGGCCTCAGAGTAAATTGGCCATAAGGTAGAGTGGCCCCAAGGGAAAGTGGCCCCAGGGTAAATTGTCCCCAAAGGTAAAGTGGCCCCAGCTTAAATTGTGTTCGAGGTTTAGAGTCCCCAGGTTAAATCGGCTCCAAGATGAACAGACCCCAGGTTAAGTGAACCCAGTGTAAAACAGACTCAAGGTAAACTAGCCCTAGGGAAAGTGACCTCCCCTCAGAGACTACACAAACTTGCCTCGCCATCATCTACACTATTTACACTAACTCTTGCAGTTTGTATAGCTGGGTGTCCCCCCCCCCCCCCCCACCAACCCACCTACCACATTACAAAGACGACCATGAATGCCCTCCATATGTGAATGTTATTAGTTTGCTCGTTGTAAAACAGATAGTGTTATCAGTCCGCGGTTTAGAATTGTCAGTCACTATAACACCATTATCTGTGCAATATCCCTAATTAGAGAAATCTATCAAGTGTTTACTCTTATTTGTCATAGCTTCTGGCAACATCCGGATTAGCCTAATGAGAGACAGCCGTTCGCAGTTAAACCGGGTGTTAGTATTTTAAAAAAAAAGCTAATTTTAATCTCCTCTGTCTTGTATAAAGTTCAAGTTGTGGCTAGGATTTTTGTGAGGGTGCGACAATTTAACCAAACACCTAACGTTAAATCGACGAATTCAATACACAGTTAAACCTGGTATTAACATAAAAACTGGTTTTAATCTCTTCGGTATTGTATACATTCAATTAGTGGCGAATGTAGGACAGTGGCGTAGGCAGGGGCGGGGGGGTTAGGGGGGGGGGGTCATAAACCCCCCACCCCAAAGACCCCTCGGTATATATATATGAGCGGGGGTGCAAAGCGAAAGTTTGAGGGGGGGGGTGCAGATCAAAAGTCTGAGGGGGGGGGGGTGGGTGCAAATCGAAATCTTGTCCCCGGGTAAAAATTGGAACAGCCCCCCTTAAGACGATCCTGGCTACGCCACTGATGTAGGATTTTTGTAAGTAAGTGACAATTTAGATAAACATCTAATGTTAAAGCAATGAATTTAATGCACGATTGATTTTGATGCTATCTGCTATCGCAACCACATTTGTTGCGCTAATAATTTCTACTGCAAATGATATTAGTAATTAGGAACTGTTGTACTTATATACGGCATAAACCAAATATTGAGGTAAAGTATCATTTAAAATACGGTGATCTGAAAAGCAGATAAAGAAGAGCTGAGTTTCTTTCATGTATCTTCTCGGGTAGGGGTGGGAGTGGAGGGGTGCGACCAAACGAAATAGAGTTTATACACAAAATATATATTTCAAACAGTGAACCCCCCCCCCCCCCCCCCGGAATTTTAAATTTGACCCCCCCCCCCGAAAGTTTAAAGTTCATTAGCTCTTGCTGGTTTAGCTCGTATGACGGGGAAACAAAAATTATTACATTACCGACTCAAGCTGTGCTCAGTAACTAGAATAGGGTTCTGAATCAAGTATTTAGCTGGCATGTTTAACAAGCCTCTAGCGCAAGGGTCTCCAAACTACGGCCAGAGGGCCGGTTGCGGCCCGCGATGTCCTCTGATCCGGCCCGCGGAGATCTTTTTGTCCAAGGAAAAATTGTTTGTTGGTGATGGCTGAGGAACTTTGCCCAGAAAAAATCAAAGATATGCCTGGAAGAAACAGGCCCCCGAACTGAAATTTGATAGTTAATGCGGCCCTCGGACTGAAAAGTTTGGAGACCCCTGCTCTAGCGGTTAGACTAGATCTCTGAATTCCGTGTCCTCCCCAGTACCATGGTTTTACCTTGTGGGGAAGTAATGTCTAGGGAAGGTCTCAATGGCCAACTCTTGACTTCCGGGTTAGCGGTACTTAGTGGTCCGTATCAAGATATATTTATAAAGCTTTAAGTCTCGGTCTCTCTCGCTTAAAATCTCGTTAGCCAGATAAATAAATAAATTTTCGAACTAAATTAATTGTTTTGAAGTAATGTCTAGGGAAGGTCTCAATGGCCAACTCTTGACTTCCGGGTTAGCGGTACTTAGTGGTCCGTATCAAGATATATTTATAAAGCTTTAAGTCTCGGTCTCTCTCGCTTAAAATCTCGTTAGCCAGATAAATAAATAAATTTTCGAACTAAATTAATTGTTTTGAACATGATTCCCGATGATAATAACAAAAACATGGCAGCTGTTTGTTTCTATACCGCACTTGAAGAGTTTAAATTCGAAGTGTCAAGAAAGAGAACTCGAATTTGGGGACCTACTTACAACCCCTATATGCCAAACTAGAACTAGGTTAAGACTCGAACAGACCCGTGGTTTTATGCCTGGTTTTATGCCACTTATTTTGAGAGGCAGTTGGGTCGAAACCCAGTTTCTACCGCTTCAACCCCGCAATTCCATGAGCAGAGTTTCTTCCAGGCATCACCCCCCCCCCCCACTTGTCGAAGAAAGTCTACCGCCCCTCCCCCCGATAGAAATGAAATTTATATTGAAAATATATACTTTTATCAGTGTCCGCACCCCACAGCACCCCTGGAAAAATTAGCCCCCTCCCCAAATATCAAGTGCCTCCCCCTCTCGGAGAAAAAAGTCTGAAAGAAACTGTCCATGAGCGCCCCCCCCCATCGTTGTTGTTTAAGGTTTTGCCTTGGCTCTCCACCCACCTCGTGATCCTCCGGTTTTAAAGTAGAGTCGGCTGACGGTCCGTTCCGTCTTGGTGTCGTCTGGACACGAGTGCCACTTCTGCGACTTGCTGACGCCCGTCAGTTCCGCCAAGGCAAAGTCACGTGGGTTGCAGCAGTTGGTGGACTGGCAGTGCTCGTCTGGAAGTTTGCAGGCCACCTGGTACGACGGAGAAAAGGGAAGGGGGGATTGTAGGCCACATGGTTAGACGGAGAAAGGGGGGGGGGAGATTGTAGGCCACCTGGTTATATGGAGAAAAGGGGAGGGGGAAGGGGGGATTGTAGGCCACATGGTTAGACGGAGAAAATGGGGGGGGGGGAGATTGTAGGCCCCCTGGTTATATGGAGAAAAGGGGAGGGGGTAAGGGGGGATTGTAGGCCACATGGTTAGACGGAGAAAGGGGGGGGGGAGATTGTAGGCCCCCTGGTTATATGGAGAAAAGGGGAGGGGGGAAGGGGGGATTGTAGGCCACATGGTTAGACGGAGAAAGGGGTGGGGAGATTGTAGGCCCCCTGGTTATATGGAGAAAAGGGGAGGGGGGAAGGGGGGATTGTAGGCCACATGGTTAGACGGAGAAAGGGGGGGGGGAGATTGTAGGCCCCCTGGTTATATGGAGAAAAGGGGAGGGGGGAAGGGGGAATTGTAGGCCACATGGTTAGACGGAGAAAGGGGGGAAGGGGGGATTGTAGGCCCCCTGGTTATATGGAGAAAAGGGGAGGGGGGAGGGGGAGATTGTAGGCCACCTGGTTATATGTAGAAAAGGGGAGGGGGGAGGGGGAGATTGTAGGCCACCTGGTTATACGGAGAAAAGGGGTGGGGAATTGTAGGCTACATGGTTATACGGAGAAAAGGGAGGGGGAGATTGTAGGCCCCTGGTTATACTGAGAAAAAGGGGGGGGGGGGAACGTAAATAAATAAGTGGTAATAGGTTTTAAAGGGGTCAGACATTTTGACAATGTTGGACATTAATTCAATCGATCTTTTTTTGTACTTACAATTTACAACAAAGTGATTATTATGGCAATGTATTGAGTAAATTTAAATTAAAAAATGTTCAACCTAGAATGTAAACGTAATTGGTTTAACGCTTTGAATTTCTTCAGGATCAACACACCGTTAGAAGTGTCCAATATGTAAAGGCAACCACCTAACGCGAGGTATAAGCTCATTACCTTTTAAGAGTCTTAAAATAACTAGCATAAAAATACAGTCGATCTTACAATCAGTGTTTCTTCCAGACTTTTTTCTCCGGGGGGGCACTTGAAATCTTCGGGGGGGGCGGTAAACTTTCTTCGGGGGGGCGGACACTGTTAAAAGTATATATTTTCTATATAAATTATATAAATTTCATTTCGTTCGGGGGGGCGGTAAAAATTTTTCGGGGGGGCTTCGCCCCCCCGAAGAGATGCCTGGAAGAAACTCTGCTTACAATACACAACAGGGAATTTTGGTTTTATTAATCCTATGCAAATATTTAAATATTCAATGGTTACTGCGTGAGGCGGCGTAACTCAAGTACTCTTCGTCTGGCCATACTCTATATTTGTTTGGTTATGTCCCTTTACGGCTTGTTTTGTAATGTCATGCTATAAAACAAAAAAAAAGCGCGTCTTCCTTGCTGTTTGTCTGCCCTTGAAACTGAAATCGTCTAGACGTCGAAGATTGACGTGTGTGGATTGGCAACACATGAACACATGCATAGCTTTGACCGTAATTTCACATACATTTCTGAATCCTTTTGTTTAGCCGACGGTCACCTATTGTTACTTAACGTTGGTGAATGCATTGTTTTTTATTCTTCATTGACGAGAGTGTACGTATAATTTACATTTATATTTTCCGTTTATTTCTTGTTTTTTTTTTGTAGCCTATATATACATAGGGTTTCATTAATTAAATTTTTAAAAAAGCTGGCAATGTAACGACAAATGGTTTTAGTGCTAGGAAATTGGTTTTGATTTTAGCCAATGCAGGTGTGTTATCTAAACATTTTTCTTGCTGTGCCTCAGAGGCGTAGCGAGTGTGGGGGCGGGGCGGGGGGAGGGGGGTACATATGTCTTTAGGGCGCCGACCATAGGGGTCGCCAAAAAGGGTTGAAAAAACTTAAAAACTCATTTTAGCTGCAGTTTTGTATTATAAATATAAAAAAAAATATATGAGAGGGGGGGGGGGCGCCAAATTAAAAGTTTGTACCCGGGCGCCGGGAAGGGTCGCTACGCCTCTGCTGTGCCTACCTTAAGATATCATTCACTTTTGGCACTTTCCAGCCCCCATTTTCAATACATGCGATACATAGTCCTATTTGTAATTTTGTGAAGGTAAAGTTTAATCTAACTATAAACATAACGATATTCTGTGTTGATTAGTGTTTTTTATCGACGTGTCGATATGGATCAAAACGGGCGAGCGAAATTTCGACCAATTCCCATCAAACCTCGCAATGTGACATCAACTTTAACCTAATTGAATGCTTGGTTAATTTTTTTATAATTTATTACATTTTTATGCATTAAGTACTATATTCCGCGTGTGTTACTTTGATGTGCAATTATTTCAAGTCATGCACATATATTCTATTAAGGTTTTTAAAATAGTGCAATTTAAAAAAAAAAAAATCCATTTAAATTAGAAGATTTCTATATAACTAAAAGTAGAAAAAAATAATTTTCTTAATTAAATAATAATAAACCCTTATTTAAGTAACTAAAATGAAAAGGGTTTTAATGTATTGAATACCTTTACTAAAACAAAACGTGCGAATCAACCCATGCTTTTCTTTTTATGTATTTATTTAGTAGTTCATTATTAGATTATATTTATAAAGAAAATCTTTTTTTCTTTCTGTTATTTTTTAGTAGAGAATCATATAAAAGCTTGTTACGAAAACGTTTTGTACTAAAAAAACGTAGAGATCTATATAAAAGCTTGCTATGAAACTTTTTATACTAAAAACCCGTAGAGAATTATAGAACAGCTTGCTATGAAAACTTCTTATACTAAAAAAAAAAACTGTAGAGAATTATATAAAAGCTTGCTATGAAAACGTTTTACACAAAAAAAAACCGTAGAGAAATATATCTATATAAAAGCTTGCTATGAAAACTTTTTACAAAAAAAAAAAAAACGTAAAGAATTATATAAAAGCTTGCTATGAAAACTTTGTATACTAAAAAAAAACAATGCACTGGTGTAGTTGATCCTACCGTGTCTCGATCCATGTGCCGGAGCGTGGGCAGATGTGGGTTGTAGATGCCGTGTTTGACTGCCGGCAACTTGACGCGTTTAAACACCGGGTAGTGGTGGTAGTAGTACGGCTTCTCTATCCGATCCACGACGTGGTTGGGTGTGGTCGACATTGGTGATGGTGTTGGGTTTTCTCACATAGTGTTGGAGGTGATGTTGGTGGGTGAAGGAAGGGATGTAGATGGAAGAGGTGTTGAGTTCGCACCAGTGTTGAATGGTGCTGAATGACAGATTGTGTGAATATGCACGCTGAATTTAGATTATAAATAGATGATTCAGAGTTGAGCTGAAATTATTACAATGCTAAATTTTGTTAAAATAATGCACGCTGAGTATATGTTTTAGGATAAGCTAATATTATAAGAACGTTAGATTGTTAAAATGCAAGCTGTATGTAGATTATGAATAAATGGTCCAGATTAAGCTAAATTATTACATTGTGTTAAATTATTAGAACGCTAGATTGTGTTACAATGCACGTTGAATTTAGATTATAAATAGAAGTTTCAGAATTGAGCTAAAATTATTAAAACGCTTGCAAAATCATTTATTTATATAAAAGTCATTTTTATAAACGCGCTAAAAATATCTCACGAACATAAATTAACACGGAAATAAAAAACACCGAATAAAATATGTGTATGTGTGCGTGAGTATTTACGCCAGACACAATTTATTCTTATAACAATCGTTCAGTTTTTAAAAAAATATGTTTAACTATTTTAAAGGTCATATCAAATTTATTTATGCCACCTTACCTTGACCTAAGTTTCACAATTGAAAAAATGTCTGCGAAGAAACAGACTAATCACCGGACGCCAAATTCTCCTCCACCCCCCCCCCCCCCCCTCCCACACACACACACACACACACACATCTCCCCCACCCTCCTTATTGCAAGCGACAGACACACGAGTGGAGATTTTTTTTAATAATATAAAAATTATCTAAATAGGCCTATCTATTGCGAATATTTTTTTTTCTAAAGCGGATTAAGCTTTAGTCATTGCTGCACTCTTAGACTCAACTCCCATAATCCGCCACTGACGGCTTATCACAAAATACATTCACATAGCTGAAACTGGATTACAAAACAAGTTGTCATACCTAAATCTAAAGCCCAGGTTCAGGCGCAAGGTAATCATAAAACGTAAGTGTGATCACGCCCACATATGCCATTATCTGCATAGCATAGAACCTTTATAAGGCAAGGCTTCAAGTGGCAATTAGGGGAGTGCGTGGTCTGGAGGGATAGAGCACGACTGCTAAGTGCAAAAGTCCCGTGTTCAAAATCCTGTACAGATCAACAACGCACCCACATTACTCATGTCGAAATACTATCTTCTTCCTTCTTGTAGTTTTTTTTTTTAATAGTATAGGACAAAATACCCTGCCAAAAAAAAAAAATTAACAAAGAACCTTAATTAGAAAAACAGTTATTTTATTTTAATCAAAAGGAAGTAATAAAGTAAAGTTTGTATGTTTCTTGACCTCGAAGTGGTCATCACTTTGCACAGCCGCCTTTACTTTCCCTGACATGAGTCAGGTACCCATCGGAGCTGGGTTGACTCAAGAACATGCTACTGACTTGTACCCGGATTCGAACCCGAGACTTTCGGGTTAGAAGCATAGCGCTCTGCCTCAAAGACCACCCAGTCCCATAAAAGGAGTGTGTACCCTACGCAGTGGCGTAGCGAGGTCGGGTGTCACCTGGTGCGGCACTCAATGGTGTCACCCTCCCAGAGGCGTAGCGACCCTTCCCGGGGACAAACTTTCAAAATTTGCTCTTAAAAGACTATTTAACACTCGAATTTACCACTTAATTAAGTGTAATTATCATTTTTCTCTATATATTTTGCTATTTTTTGCCTTGGTGTCACCCGCCCTAAATGGTGTCATCCGGTGCGGACCGCAGCCCCCACCCCCCCCCCCCCCCTCACTACGTCACTGACCCTAAGTATAACTAATTCGACAGTTATTGTATTTTAAGCGAAAGTGCGGGCGAAATTAAATTAATATTGAAAAAAAAACTTCTAAAAAAATGTATATAACTTACGAATTTTTTGGATCATTAATTGTATACAATACTTATTAGTTATTAGCATTAGGTAATAAATTGTAGTAGGTTGATGATCAAGTGATAATTGTTTATGTATAGGTGTGTAAATAGAATTGTACATAGTACGAGTATTTATAAGACCAAATCATCTTTTATAAAAATGTTAACTGTATTCGTTTGGTTAAAGTTCCTAAGCTAAAAACGTCACTTTAATTATAGTTAGAGCAAGTCGGCACGAAAATGCAAATGAACAAGTGACGTTGATGAATGTCCGCGTCTTAAAATTTCTGGTTTCGTCTTCTACATCACGTGATCTGTTTCATCTATTTTTAGATATTTCTTCAGTGTATGAGTTTAAAGTTTAAAATAAAAATAAAAACAGCGTGTTCGCTGTTAATTTAGTTTATTTAACGCGTTGTACTTTTGCTGATAGCAAAACCGTGTGTGTGTGTGTGGCGTTGTGTGTGTATCGTGCTGTGTTTTGTGTGTGGCGTTGTTTTTGTGGCGTTGTGTGTGTGGCGTTGTGTGTAAGGCGTTGTGTGTGTATGTGGCGGTGTGTGTGTGACATGTGTATGTGGCGTTGTGTGTGTGGCTTTGTGTGTGGCGTTGTGTGTGTGGCGTTGTGTGTGTGTGTGGGGGCGTTGTGTGTGGGGCGTTGTGTGTGTGTGTGGCGTTGTGTGTGTGTGGGGGGCGTTGTGTGTGTGGCGTTGTGTGTGTGGCGTTGTGTGTGTGGCATTGTGTTTGTGGTGTTGTGTGTGGCGTTGTGTGTGAGTCGTTGTGTGTGTGTGTGGCGGTGTGTGTGGCGTTGTGTGTGTGACGTTGTGTGTGTGTTTGGCGTTCTGTGTGTGGCGTTGTGTGTGTGGCGGTGTTTTTGTTACGTTGTGTGTGTGGCCTTGTGTGTGTGGGGGGCGTTCTGTGTGTGGCGTTGTGTGTGTGGAGTTGTGTGCGTGGCGTTGTGTGTGTGGAGTTGTGTGCGTGGCGTTGTGTGTGTGGCGTTGTGTGTGTGTGTATGTGTATGGCGTTGTGGGTGTAACATGTGTGTGTGTGTGGCGTTGTGTGTGTGTGTGTGTGTGGCGTTGTGTGTGTGTTTGGCGTTCTGTGTGTGGCGTTGTGTGTGTGGCGGTGTTTTTGTTACGTTGTGTGTGTGGCCTTGTGTGTGGGGCGTTGTGTGTGTGGAGTTGTGTGCGTGGCGTTGTGTGTGTGGCGTTGTGTGTGGGGCGTTGTGTGTGTGGAGTTGTGTGCGTGGCGTTCTGTGTGTGGCGTTGTGTGTGGGGCGTTGTGTGTGTGGAGTTGTGTGCGTGGCGTTGTGTGTGTGGCGTTGTGTGTGTGTGTATGGCGTTGTGGGTGTAACATGTGTGTGTGTGTGGCGTTGTGTGTGTGTGTGTGTGTGGCGTTGTGTGTGTGTTTGGCGTTCTGTGTGTGGCGTTGTGTGTGTGGCGGTGTTTTTGTTACGTTGTGTGTGTGGCCTTGTGTGTGTGGGGCGTTGTGTGTGTGGAGTTGTGTGCGTGGCGTTCTGTGTGTGGCGTAGTGTGTGGGGCGTTGTGTGTGTGGTGTTGTGTGCGTGGCGTTGTGTGTGTGGCGTTGTGTGTGTGTGTGTATGGCGTTGTGGGTGTAACCTGTGTGTGTGTGGCGTTGTGTGTGTGTGTGTGTGTGTGGCGTTGTGGGTGTAACATGTTATTGTGGCGTTGTATGTGTGACATGTGTGTTTGGCGTTGTGTGTGTGGCTTTGTGTGTGACGTTGTGTGTATGGCGTTGTGTGTGTGACATGTGTGTGTGGCGGTGTGTGTGTGGGGGGCGTTGTGTGTGGCGTTGTGTGTGTGGCGTGTGTGTGTGACATGTGCGTGTGACGTTGTGTGTATGGCGTTGTGTGTGTGACATGTGTGTGTGGCGGTGTGTGTGTGTGGCGTTGTGTGTGGCGTTGTGTGTGTGGCGTGTGTGTGTGACATGTGCGTGTGGCGGTGTGTGTGTGTGGCGTTGTGTGTGGCGTTGTGTGTGTGGCGTGTGTGTGTGACATGTGCGTGTGATGTTGTGTGTGACGTTGTGTGTGTTACGTTGTGTGTTACGTTGTGTAGTCGTCTGTTTGTTTAGACTAGTTTATAGCTTAGGGTGAAGTTTAATGCTTCCAAGAAGTCGAGTACATGTTTATGGCTACCTAAACGACGGTTTTACCACCGCAATTTTCCAAGTTGCGATAAGATAAAGGAGGAATGCATGTATCAATAAAATATGGATTTCGTTTCTAAGCCACCATTCTTTTTGCAGCTAACAGTCACATTAAAAAGAAAGTTTGAAATTTGTGTCTTAAATTGTGTAAAGTTGGAAGTATATTAATTAAGAAAATAATAAAAAAAAAAATTCTACTCATGATAGTTGCAAAAAAAAAATTCTTTTTCTAAAGCGATAATTAAGATTTTTTTTTTTGCTCGAGTGCGTGGGACGTCTCTGAGTCCACCCAGCTCTAAAGCGTTTCTGGCCCCGGGTTAGAGAGCGTTATGAAGGCTGTGCAAAGTGCCGAATCCATTAACCCTTTATATTACAAGGCCACGATGAACACGAGAGCTCTACTTTACCTACCATATTAGCAGTCAGGTCCGAAAGGGCGTATTTACTTAATAGTATAGTGTTATTACTATTAGCAGTTCTCTAACAAGAACAGTGGCGTAGCGAGGTCGGGTGTCACCCGGTGCGGCACTTAATGGTGTCACCCCCCCCCCAGAGGCGTAGCGACCCTTCCCGGGGACAAACTTTCAAATTTTCGATTAGCACCCCCACCCCCACCCCCCACCCCCCTCAAACTTTCGATTTGCACCCCCCTCAAGTTTTTCTCTATATATTTTGCTATTTTTTGCCTTGGTGTCACCCCCCTAAATGGTGACACCCGGTGCGGTCCGCACCCCCCGCCCCCCCCCCCCCCCTCGCTACGCCCCTGAACAAGAATATTAGGTTTCCAAATTTCCCCACCTAAATGTATCGGTTATCTACATATACGTATCACTCTTATATACACAAAAATACCTGGAAAAGTAATGAATATATATATATATATATATATATATATATATATATATATATATATATATATATATATATAATAAACTGTAAGAAAGTAATAGACTATTACGATACAAAAATATCACTTAAATTGAGTTTTATTATAAATTTTAACAATTTAATTCTTTTAATTGCGGAACAAGCCTGCCTTTATTATGAACCTATCCCCCCCACTCCCTACCCCCGTCTAGTTACACATTTGCCCGACCCTGCTCACTGAGCTGTAAAACATCCAATAAAATCGATAACTCTAAACAAAATCGATTTATACCTGACTGTACATTGTGGCGGACTGACACTGAAGTATTAATGAGCAAGCTAGTGGCATGTATGTCTACCATTTTTACAGTTGGCGTCAACACAATAAAGGCAGCCTTTGTCTAATTCAACTACTCGCAAATATTTATCATAATTTTGTTACAGTATAGAGGCATACTCAAGGCAGACTGGTGTGCTAACTACTTAAAAAATTATTATTGAGTTATAACCAGAGGCGTAGCGAGGGGGGGGGGGGCAGGGATTGCGGACCGCACCGGGTGACACCATTTTAGGGGGTGGCACCAAGGCAAAAAATAGCAAAATATATAGAGAAAAACTTGAGGTGGGGGGGTGCAAATCGAAAGTTCGAGGGGGGGGTGCAAATCGAAAATTTGAGGGGGGGGGGGGGTGCAAATCGAAAATTTGAAGGTTTGTCCCCGGGAAGGGTCGCTGCGCCTCTGGGGGGGGGTGACACCATTGCACCATTGAGTGCCGCACCGGGTGACACCCGACCTCGCTACGCCACTGGTTATAACTGTATATTGTATCCCATATCTTTTTAAAATACAGTGATAAACTTTACAAGACTGTAGAAAAAAATGTCTATCTTGTTTTTTAAGCGTACTTATATTTAACCATCCTAAATCTAATAGGTAAGTAACCTTAATGTGATATACGAACAGCCGTTACGGTTGAGTAAACATCCCACCTGAATTAGGTGGTGGGAAAGGGCTGGGCTGAAAGAATTGGGGGCCATTTAGGTAAAGTACAGTCTGTAAGGATGTCAGCTGACACAGTATTGTGTGTCTGGAAGGTTCTAAGATTTTGTACTGGCATTGTATGTTTGTTTGTCTGATACAGGTTATAACATATTAACTGGCACACTATTGTGGATGTTTATCTGGAAGGTTCTAAGATTTTTTACTGCTATTGTATGTTTGTTTGTTACCAGTTCTAAAATATTTAGCTGGCACGGTATTGTGGATGTGTATCTGGAAGGTTCTTAGATTTTTTTTACTGGCATTGTATGTTTTTTTGTCTGTTACAAGTTCTAAAAGATTTAGCTGGCACACTATAATGGATGTTTATGTGGAAGGTTCTAAGATTTTGTACTGCTATTGTATGTGTGTTTGTTACCAGTTCTAAAATATTTAGCTGGCACGGTATTGTGTAAGTATGCCTGAATGATTATAAAATATTTGAATCGAAGCAGTATTGCAGATATATATATATGGGAGCCGGACGTTTTCCCGAAAGACACTTGCCCGAATGCCGTTTGCCCGAAGGCCGAATTCCCGAATGGACACTTGCCCGAATGCGACAAATGCCCGAATGGACACTTGCCCGAATGCGACAAATGCCCGAACTACATTAGAAAAAATTACATAACCTCTTACACGTACTGCTGACAATTTTAAAAAAAAATTCTGCCATGTACCCATGCTATGCAAAGAAATTAGGACCGCTGAAACAGCGAGAAAAAAAAAAGCGAGTTTACATGTAAGGAGCTACGTTGTTGTGCGACACGGTCCAAAACAAGAGTCGCTGATGCGTGTCGCGAACGAGGGTGGAGTGGGTTGGTTAGTGGTAAAGATTTTTTTTTTAACTGCAGTGTAAACATCGGCTCTCCCTGTACATGTTTAGACGGATTGTTTTGATTTAATAGTTTGGATACATGTAAACAACTCGGAACTTTAAAAGAATTTCATACGGCTGGATGTTAATTGTTTAAAAAAAAATAATATAAGGTAAAAAAGATCAACGCAGTATTTTACTATTTTTTTAAAAATTGTTGTAGATAGTTTTAAATAATAATAATAATACTAGTAATAATAACAATTATATTGATTTTAATAATAATTTTAATAATAATAATAGTAATTATAATAATAATTTTAATAAATTTAATAATAATAGTAATAATAATAATTATACTATTTATAATAATGATAATAAAAGAACCACCCATGTATTTAAGAAGTACGTGTACTATATTAATAATAATTACGTTTAAAAGTCATACAGCAAAATAATACAACAATATTTTAATCTGTACTTAGGCTTTGATTAAGGGGTCATCCATAAATGACGTCACACTCCTAGGGGGGAGGGGGGTCCGTAATTTTGTGACGATGTGTGATGAGGGGGAGGGGGGGGGGAGTTTATATGTTGCGACGTCACATTTTCGCATAATAAAAAAAAAGCAATGTTAGAAAACAAATTTTAGATGTTATTTCGCGTTTTAGATAACTGTTTTAATGTATTGTAATAGTTAACACAAGATTTTGGAAAAATATCAACGTTTTAAAAAATTCAACTGCAATTTTGAAGGGGGTTGTAGGTTGAGGTGTGACGTCATTTTAGGGGCGGGTCTGGCTTATTGTGACGACGTGTGAAGGATGGGGGGGGGGAGGTAAAAATCGTCAAAAAAGCGTGACGTCATTTATGAATGATCCCTAAGTCGATAGTTATTTTTTACTCTTTGTAGGCAAACATTCAATCTTTAGAAAACACGATATAAAACATATTTAAAAGTAATGGTTAGGGAAAAGTGAACACATACATATTTTACTACTATTAATTAAATATTTAGCTGATCTCTATTCGAAAGGTTAGACGCACGTGAAGAGAACTAGAAATCTATACAATGTAAAACGGAACACTAGACATAATCAGTGGCTATAAAGGGCGTTGTTATTGAATGTGTTTTCAAAATAAGTGTTTATTTATACACACATACATATAAGTATACATAAATATGTATGTATGTATGTATATATATATATATATATATATAGGGAGATATATATATATATATAGTGATATATATATATATATATATATATATATATATATATATATATATATATATATATATATATGTATAATTATGTATATATATATGCATATAAATAATGTATTTATTTACACACACACACACATATATATATATATATATATATATATATATATATATATATATATATATATATATATATATATATATATATATATATATATATATATATATATATATATGGTTCCATGACAAATGATCTCAGGACAAATGATCTCAGACAAAATATCTGGTATCTTTTGTCTGTGAGATCATTTGCCCTTGAGATCATTTGTCTGTGAGATATTTTGTCTGATATATTTTGTGTTTTCAAAATAAGTGTTAATTTATACATACATACATATAAGTATACATAAATATGTATGTATGTATGTATATATATATAGGGAGATATATATATATATATATATATATATATATAGTGATATATATATATATATATGTATAATTATGTATATATATATGCATATATATAATGTATTTATTTACACACACACACACACACATATATATATATATATATATATATATATATATATATATATATATATATATATATATATATATATATATATATATATGGTTCCATGACAAATGATCTCAGGACAAATGATCTCAGACAAAATATCTGGTATCTTTTGTCTGTGAGATCATTTGCCCTTGAGATCATTTGTCTGTGAGATATTTTGTCTGATATATTTTGTCTGAGATCATTTGTCCTGAGATCATTTGTCCTGTCACCATATATATATATATATATATATATATATATATATATATATATATATATATATATATATATATATATATATATGATTTTGAGAATGTAAACATATTTATTTAATGCCATTTCCTTTGTGCAATCTGAAAATACCGTGCACGGCACCTTAAGTCGAGTGTTCGGAGAAACAGTTATACTTGAACATAAGAAGGCATGTTAAAGGGGGGGGGGGAGGATATGGTTGGATGGTTCTAGACCCCTTCAATGATTCCTGCTTGTGTCAGAGCTTGTGATCTTTAGATTTTAAATAGTTAATTAAAATTGCCTATTAAAATTAAAATTGCCTATTGATCGTATGTTTTGAATATTCAAGACTTCACGTAATTCTAAATTAAAACTTGCGGTCACATCGTTTTTAAAGTAGATCACTTTAATGATAAGCCATTTAGTATTTGCCTGAGCTAAGATTTATATGTATGTTTGTTTGTAGATAGGGTGACGTCAAGGATTAGTAGATCACTTTAATGATCAGCCATTTAATATTTGCCTGAGCTAAGATTTATATGTATGTTAGTTTGTAGATAGGGTGACGTCAAGGGTTAGTAGATCATTTTAACGATCAACACTTGATATATTCGTATGCGCCAGATCTATATGTTTGTTCATTTGCTGATATGGTAAATTTAAATTATTTCCCTTGAACTGTGCGTCACGGATGGTTGATTTCTTGCCAGAGCGTCGACCTCCAACTGTCTTTCAGAGGTCACATGCTACTTATCGGGATTTTACACAGGTAACTTTAGTCATGGTCTATGTACTTTTAACTTCATTTCGAACGAATGACTAAAAAGTGGAAAATAATACAAACGTTTTAGCATTTGTAGTAACAAGCTTTTAAATACACAAAGAATAAGCAAATAATGCTAACTTGCTTAATTAAGGCATAATAGTTCTGTATAATTTATGACTTAGCACCCCGCCCACCTCCCCAAAACACACACGCACACGAATACATACTAACCACGATCGAATTTAATACAACAAACAATGCATTTTTAGCGCAATTTCCATACGGACAATTGCGATTATTAACTCGTCATTTCTGGATGGATGGATGAATGAATGAATGAATGGATGTGTGTCCGCAGCTTTACCGCAGCTTTAAGTCGTATCTCCTCCTCAACGAAGCAATATCGAGGACTAGTTCCAAAAGCAAATATATTAAGCAAGATCCGGGGATGATTGTGGGCCAAAAAAATTCCCGGAATTCCTTCGTGGATTTCCCGGAAAAGCCAAAAACCTTGAAAAAAATGCAGCTTTTGGCCCATATCTCGGCAACCAGACCACTTAGCGACTTGAAACATTTACCAATCGATTCCTGCTATAATTTAGAACAATATTGCCGAAGAAAGTTTTCAAAAATATCCTTTCGTTTGGTCACAATTTTTTTAAAAAAAATTACATAAACACCTACAAACCGATCGTTCTCCTAGCTTGAACGCACCCCAGCATTGTACGTCTTTGTGATCACTATCTATTTTTAGATAACATAAGGAAAATTGCGCTTAAATTGTCACTAGACTTTTTATTAACTTGTTTTTAGTAGACTGAATCGCCGTTTTATATTAAAACAGTTTAGCTATAAAAACAGATTATAGCAGTAGGTTTGATTAATATTCTAGATATAATGAGTTTAGTTAATTAATTATTCCAAGATTATTTACCATCAAAGACCTGATGTCGTAACAGTCTGCATTTCCATTTCTTTGATTTTTTTTTCATTAATGCTTTGTGTTAAATAACCCCTTTAACTATTTAATAGAAGTGTAAAAATAATTTTGCAATGCTTTGTTTATTAGTAAAAACTCTTTTGCTGTTGTAGATGCTCACCAACTGTACTAATGAACTTCATTGATTACCAGTGACGCATTGCTTTGTTATCATCAGCCGTTGTACAAAATATTAATTATCATTGATTATTATTCAATATTCACAGCCATTAGAAAATATTTTTTAAAATTTCAAAGTCTTTTTTCTTTTATCCAAATGTTTTCTTTATTTATTTTTGTGTGTAGTAAAGGAACGGAGGAAAATTGAAGTTTAAATTCTTGAACCAATTACGTCCCTTAGAATGCGCAGTTCAATACGTCAGTTTTCATTTCTGTAACATAAATTCTCTGAGAATCTGGTATTTTTCCAGGTGCCTACATCACCAGAGCTATCTCCTTACCAGTAGCGTAGCGAGGGGGGGACATATGTCCCCGGGCGCCGAGCTTAGGGGGCGCCAAAATGGGTTGGAAAAATAAATTGAAAGGTTGAGGGGGGTGCAAATCGAAAGTTTGAGGGGGGGGGGGGTGCAAATCGAAATCTCGAGGGGGGGGGGGTGCAAATCGAAAAGTTTGTCCCCGGGCGCCGGGAAGGGTCGCTACGCCTCTACTCCTTACCAAATATTACGTTTGTGTAGCATCTGCAAGTTCGATCAAATTCAAGTTCTTTAAAATGTATAGTTTATACAAGGCAGCGGTCAGTCTAAGTCGGTTTTCGGTTACTTTGCATGCGATTATCGAGATGGCTCTAATGTTTGCATTAAAATGGGAGTGAACAGTAACTTTTGTCCAGAGTTATTTCCCCGTGACAAACAAACAAACAAAGAAATCCCATTTTGTATTTATAGATATAGATTGTGCATTCAAAAGCTTGTTATTGTAAAGGTTGTTATATTTGTTTTAATTTACGCTGTATTGATCAGAAAAGCATGTGGCTTTTACGTGTAGGGATGGCAGGTAAACTTTGAAAAGTAACAGGTGTTTGGATAACTGTAAAATACGTAGCCTACGGTTATCTTGAACGGCTGGGGCTAGTGCTTTCATTTTCAACAACAGTAATTAACTATTACGTGTCAACATGGTATACGCCGTAAAGCCCGTTTGTGTTATCATTATGTTTTAATTTCTTGATCTGCTTCCATGATCTGTGTTCAACCTCAAATAATCTGCAAGGAAGAAATTGTTTGATCTTTGAGATTTTTCTACTAGATGAGTTGGTTGCTGTTCCCAGCTATGGAGTTGTCTCTCCTAGATTGGTTGCTGTTCCCAGCTATGGAGTTGTCTCTCCTAGATTGGTTGCTGTTCCCAGCTATGGAGTTGTCTCTCCTAGATTGGTTGCTGTTC